CCCTCGTCGCGCGTACCGGATCAGGCCTCAACCATCCCCTGGCCCTGATGTTCGCCACGCCCCTCGCAATAGCCCGTCCCCTCTCCCTCCTCGGCGGTCCTTCTCCTAGTGCCACCGCCACCGCCACTGCGGCTCCATTCTGTCGCTGTTGCTGCTGCTGTTGTGCGGCAGCGCGCTGAGCTTGCAACCGTATCAACCTCCCTCTCGCCAAGATCTTCAAATACACCAGCCCGAGCGCCCATAGATCCACGATCCTAATTCGAACAGGATCCTCGCCGGGCGTCATCAACACTCTCATCGGCAACACACAGTAACACTCAATAACAGCCGCCAACAAGATGGGTATAACGCCTCCGAGCATGATGGCCATGTATCCCGCTTTACCCGCCCATGCTGTGAAACCTTTGAATGCGCGGAGTACGTGCTGCGTTCGTGAGATGGGCTCTGCATCTTCGGTTTCGGCTAGGCGGAGACGGCGGAGGTATCGGTGTTCGGCGTGCCAGCCTACGAAGAAGGCTGCCCATAGAGCGTAGAAGCCTGCGAGGAGGGAGTACCCGTCGTGGACCTTCCTCTCACTTCCGAGTGCAATCGCGAAGATCTGCCTTCCTACGAGAAGAGGAAGACAAAGGGAGAGCGAGAAGGCTACGCAGCCTGCGATCCACAGTAGAGTGAGGAACAACGCGATGCGGAGCTTGAAGTGCGTCGGGACGTGGACAACGGTATAGTCGGCTTTGGGATCTCTTCCTGCGCGTCGAGCGGCAAGGTTCTGCGCTGCGACGTTCCGGAGCTCAACATCACTCGCCGCAGCGCCGTGCTTGTCAACTTTCGCCGTAGCCTTCACTCCGCGCGGTACGATGACATTGTCCGACGCCGGGACGCGCCTCCACCCTCCGTCTTGGGCCGCCTCTTCTGCCGCAACGCGTGCGCCGAACATGTACCCGCTCAAACCGAGCCTGGCTGCGGACCAGCGCCATGCTTGACCCGCGAAGCGCTTGAGAGGGCGTTTAGGTCGGAAGTGGCGGGTCGTGTAGGGCAAGAGGACGTGTAGCACCAAGAGATCGAGTGGGATGTCGGAGAGAGGTTCGCGTGGGAGCCAGCGGATGGGAAGAAGACCGCGTGCGACTACGCCGACGGAGGCGACACCTGCCGTGAGAACTGCCGCGTACCTATATGCGCGCCTGTCAGCTTACCGTACTTACTTGTTGGAAGAGTGCTAGGATGCTTACATGACAGCGGAGAACAGTAACTTGCGCAGTTGGAGCAGAGCGGGCCGTTCGAGTATGTCGCGTATAGGGTGGAAGTTCGCGTCGGAGGGGTCCTTGATGAACCACATCGCACCCGGACGCATGATGGTCCTCGCCCCGGCGAGCAAGATCGCGAATTGATACCTGTAAGCCTCCCATCAGTACAAGCCAGAGAGGGTATAAGGACAACGCACATGAACATAGTCCCAATAACCCAGTGGTAGAACACGCTCGTCAAAGGGCTCTGCTTCGCGAACGCGATCCTGGTTTGCAGACTCGCGCCAGGGAACATCCACACCGAGCACGCGTCCAGATTCAATCCGCATCCGAGGGGGAACAGGACGAGCTCGATGAGGATGAATGCCGCGACCTGCGCGATGATGGGTTAATACGAGATGTAGAGGTAGCGCAAAGGTGAGGAAAGAGAATGTACCTTGACGACTAATCCCCACTGCCGTACTGCATCCCCAACAGCCCTCCCGGCGCTCCTCACACTGCCCTTACTAAACACGTTCAGCCACATCACCAACCCAAGCGCAACAGCGCCATATCCGAGCCCAACGGCAGCGGCGCGCGAAGAAGGCGTGTCGGATGTGACGAGGATCGTCCAGTTATTCCAGAGGCGAGTGGCGACGGGAACGACGTGGTCCGTGTAGAATGGGTGCGAGGTTGCTTTGAGAACGAGTGGGGAGGCGAGGGCTCGTTGGACATAGGGCGAGTCGAGGAAGCTGGAAGGTGCCGGCGTGGGAACGGGTACAACGACGGGCTTGCTAGTGCCCAACGCGCCAACATACAACGCGACCTTCTCAAACCACCCCCCATGCGCCTTGCCCTCCACCTCCAAAAGATGCACCAACGGCATCAACACCTTCAACACAACAGGCCCCACAACCCTCCTCACAACAAAAACAGCCCCGTCAACTCCGGGGTCCGTAACGACCCTCACAAGCTTCACAGGCGCATGAATCAGCACCAACGCCCTCGTCGGGTTCAAACTGAGTAGACCGAGCGTTTTGCCGAGTGTGAAGGGTAGCCATACGCCGAGGCCAATGGCCGTGTCCAGCACGAAGACCATGAGGGCGGCGTTTTGCGCTACGATGTGCCAGGGCCCGCGCATGCCGATTGCTTCGAGCGCGCCGTCCATGTCGTCTTCGGGCTCGGCGTCTGCGAAGTCGTCTGCGAAGCCTGCTCCTCCTCCGGCGGGTTGGGCGGGCGGAGCGGGATCGGGTGGGAGGGCGAGGTTGGCGGGTGCAGGGCGGTTGACGAAGGCGGGGCCGAGGAATGCGTTTGGTGGAGGGTTGGGCGCGTTGGGCGCGTTTGGAGGGCGGAGAGCGTTGATGTGATCGTTGTCCAAGTCATCGCCCTCGCCTTCACCTCCCACCTCTTCAAGGTCTACGTCCGCATCGTCATCTTCCCAGCCAAACATCCCTCCTGCATGTTCATGCTCAAGATCATGCTCTTCGTGTTCATGGTCGTGGTGCTCATCACCGTGATCGTGGTCGTGGTCGTGACGGATACCCTCCAGCGCTGGCATGCCCTCCAGATCCTCGTCCCTCTGCTCCTCATCATCCGACGGCGAAGGCGGACTTGGCTCGCGGAAGTATTTCGCATGTTCGGCGCCCAAGGCTCTCCTGAGACGTGCATCATACTCTTGCCACGACGCCCACACGTCCTCCCCCTCCCTCCCATCGCCGTCTTCTCGCAGCGTCTCATCTCCATTCCAAACTTCAACCCTTTCCTCTTCTTCCTTCTCATCGTCCGTACTCCTCCCTTTGCCCTTGCCCTTGCCCTTCGCAGCGCCATCTAAGTCCGTTGCTTTAACAGTCTCTCCGCTCCCAGCCCTCGAGTAATCAAAGTATCCCTCCTCGCCTAACACCTCCGGAGCAGCGTAGCTCGCCAGCCCTGGGCTGGCATCGCTCCTTGCGGTAGTCGCAGAGCTGGGCAAAGCCGGACTGGCGGGTGCAGACGAAACGAGTGGTGGACGGCGCGGGAGCGTTACTTGTGTTGGCCTTGCTGTTGACGAAGGCGTTGAAGAAGATGAAGAGGGCGTTAGAGCTGAGACCCGGGGTGACGGTATTGGTGCGGAGGTCGTAGGTTGCGTTAATGGAGGTGGGGCAGGCGGTGTAGGCACAGGAGAAGATGTAGAGCGGAATGCCATTCTACTGGGTGATGGGATAGGTCTGCGCCTTGTCGGTCCTGAACCTGCGCTAGAGATAGGCCCGGGCGAGTTCGGTCTGCGACGGGCTTGTCCGGAACCTATATCATACAATCTTAGCATTCGAAGTATCCGCATAAGTCAAAGAGAGGACATACCGTTGACATTTGTACTCGTACTCGTACTCGAGCCACTCTCGAATCTCTGCACATCGGCATAATATGTAGGCCAGTCACTTGCAGGCGTTGAGACAGCGGGTGTGCCAGCCACAGCCGTAGTAGACACGCTTCTGTAGGCCAGATGCGAAGGTGGCGCCCCCAATGGCGTCGCGCCCAGCGTGTTCTTTGACGGCCCTGCAATAGACGGCCCAGCAATGTTCACAGACGAGGATGAACCAGCGAGAGAAGTCGAAGAGGGCGACAACGGGAACGGTAAAGGCGGGCTGCCCGGACTGCCCATCCAAGGCGGCGTCGCGCCGTTCTCGTTTGCAAAGCTGAACCCGCTGCCTCCCGCACGCGCCCTTTTCCGGACCGACTCCTCGCGAGCCTCTCCTTCGTCTTCTGGCTGAGGCGTGGGAAGTGCAACCAATGGCGGTACACCTCGTCGTGCACGGCGGGGCAGCCGCGCGAAGGGTCGTTGAGCCGTGCCGTCTGGGCCGGGCACCTCAGGTTCGGGTGCATTATTCCGAGATGATTTCCTGGAGCGCGATTTATCGTGTTGGTGCAGATGCACAGCAATCCTTGCCCGCTCGGCGTCCATTTCCTTCTTTAGCTCCTCCTCCTCGTTCAACGCAGGCTCTGCCTCCGCCGCCGGGTCAGCCTCTGCTTCTGCCGCCGGCTGATCGTCGTCCTCGACGTCGGCTTCGGCCCCGAGGTTGGGTTGCGGGTTGGGTGGTGCGTCATCAAGGATGCCGGGCCGGGCGTTCTGGGCGATCCATTCCTTGAGGAGAAAGACGGCGATGAAGACAAGAACGATGAGCGTGGCGATGATCTGTCCGCTCAGAATATCCGCGCCTATATTCCTCGCCGCCGGATGCGCCAGTATCCCCAGTCTCACTCCACCACTACTCTCAGTAGCATTATCTCCCAAAGTGGTCGAGTTGACCGTAGAGTTGGCTGCCGTGACGTTTGATTGGACGTGTCGCGTGAGATTGAAGAGCGCGCGATGTCCGGTCAGAGGTTTGGCAGCCAACCATCCCGCCGCGCCGTTCCCAATCGCGAAATACATCCTCCAAGTCCAGAGCGTCGCCCACGGCAACAACGCCAGCCAGACCACTCCCACAATCACGCCCCTCAACCCGACGCCTATCCACCCACACGCGTGCCGCACCGCCCTCCTCATCAGCAGCAGCGCCGGCAACCGCCTCGGCATATCCCGAGCGTAGACTTTGGTGAAAGCATAAGGGTGCTTGCATACGTCGCACGAGCGCTTTTTGGAATGGGAGAGCCAGGTGGCGAGGCAGTCTTGGTGGATGTGCCCGATGGATCCCCGGCACAGGCACGGGCGGTATAATGGCGCGTTGGGTTCGGCGCCGCCTGAGCAAATTCGGCAGGTGTCGCCCGTCTCGTCTAAGGGCGGCGTGTCGTCCATCTCGAGCAGAGGATGGCGGATGTGGCAGGATGGAGGACGGACGCGCGCGGGTGAGATGCCGCGATGACGCCACGCGCCGAGATGAGCTAAGCCGGCACGTAGACGCGCTCGCCCTCACGACTTGCCTGCGACCACCACCGCTCGCCCATATCGTGATAGAACACTGAAACGCATCACATTATCATCCTGAGAGCTCGTCTGCACGTCCGAAGCATTCCCATCCGGTATAGGTCTCACGGCTGACCGTGCTTTGAGCTTCCTGACCTCCATAGTCTACCAATTCATAGACTCTTCCCTTGCCCAATCGATGGATGCGTGGACTACTGGTCACCTGTACAGTGGCTAAGGTTTCATTGCGGGTTCGACTCCCGCCACGCACAATTTGCCGCCCGAGGATGCCATTTTTTGTACCGACCTTTAGAATTTAATCCAATCGCTCACTCTTCGCACGACTGATGTATCATCAAGGCCTCTACATATGTTGTCTATCCTTGGGTCCGTATCCAATACTCCTATACCTTATCTGAGCTACAGTTTGGTGCTCAAGGATGCTTCAAGTCTCGGACAGCAACTGTCTCGGAAGGACCGTTGTCCGCGGGTGAGCAGCCCCTAAACGATGTCGGATTCCTGTTAGGGACACGCTCTCGCCAGCTGTCGCGGATGGCGTTTCGGATGTCTGCCGACACATTCCTTCTAGGAGCTCCCCCAGAGCTCGTATAAGAACCCTCCACGATAACCTCAAACGTCCAACAACAACTACTACCCAAAAACCAACCAACCCAACGCAAGCACCTGAAACACCCAACACCCACAAACCCAATACCCAACCACTAAAGCAACCATGTACTCAATGCTCGTCTCGCACTCCCTCTCAACCGCCCACTCAACCACCACCACCCGCACAAGCCGCCCGTCATCACTATCAACATCAACGTCGCTATCAATCACCACTACCGATCATACGAGGAGGCGTGGGCCTTCCCGCGCGCGCGTGGCGTTGCGGTCGTGCAGGAAGGCGTTGAAGGAGTTTTTGAGGGCCGATCGGTGTGAGGATGCGTGGATGTGAGGGAATCGGATGAGGAAGGCGGTCGTGTTTTTACTGGGTGTACTATTATGTAACGGGCGCTGGCGCCTCGATACGCAGCATGTGGCTATTTAGTTCAAAACAGACATTTTTTATGCTCGCTATACGGGACTGCGAACTCAGAGTGAAGGTTTAGATGTTTCCGTCTAAGATAGTGACAATCTGTGGATGCTAACTTGACATCCTGCTAAATGTATGCATGGGCGAACGGGTGGCTTTTCTGTTGCCCTGGCGCATTTGGAGGTTCGAATCCCCACCATGTCATTCAGACCAAAGATGAGTCACTTTTTTGCTGGAGTACTGGACTTCCACCACTACTGGTCATGACAGAATAGTGGACGCAGAACCCTTATCTTTGGCTATCCTTGCTCGTTGGGGAACATACCGAGTCGCGAGTACGATGTTCACCGGTCCGGCTGAACGGCACGACGCGTTCAAGTTCGACATCTTGGCTTGCACCACCACTACCATGAGCTGCAGTTCTACATTCCGCCCGCCGCGTGTGGCTGGGCACAGTTCAATCCCGAAATAATACACTTTGTGCTCGAACAGCCCTCGCCTGAAGCATCAGCATCTCAAGGAGGCCTGCCCGACGGGCACCACCGACTATTGCCCGAAGCCTATCCAGTGGCCCCTTGCCCTTTCTTGCAACCAGAATACCTCTGGAGGATGGACACCTCGTACCGGACGACTTTGTCTCGGAGAGGTGTAGTCTCGGAAGGGGAACCTCGTACACGGTCCCCTAGGTTCTCGGATAATGTTTCGGGTATCCCCTCGCCACAACTCATACAGGAGTACTCTCCTCGATATATAAGGTGGCAATGCTGAGCAGCACTGACCTATCATCACAAACACTCTTAGTCTTCTACACATCCACATCCACTATCTTCATCATGTTCTCCACCCGCTTCTACACTCTCGTCTTCCTCGCCATCGGTATTGCGGTCGAGGCCGTTCCCGCCCCGTAAGCCTTGACCTTTTCTCTTGCGCATATACAGACTCTGACATATCATCCTATAGGATGAAGCGCAATGATGCGACCCCAGCCCTGGCGGCTCGGGCTCCCCAGTTTTCCGTCAACATCCCGAACACCATTCCCGTCAGCGGCGCATTCCCGAACGGCATCACCGTCACCCCCCAAACGCCTTCAGGCAGCATTGTAACGGGCAACAACAACTCGACGCTGTTCGGTGCTTTCGGTTTCAAGCGCGAGGAAGGTGTCGAGGCGAGACAGTTCAACTTCACCCTACCCAACCAGTTGCCCGTCGCCGGTACCCTGCCTTTCGGTCTCACCGTCACGCAGGGTACACAGAACAGCACAGTCGGCCTCCCTTCAGGCTTCCCCTTCAAGCGTGGCGTTGAAGCGAGGCAATTCAACTTCACCCTGCCGAACCAGCTGCCCGTCGCTGGCACCCTTCCCTTCGGTCTCACGGTCACGCAAGGCGCGGAGAACAGCACTGTCGGCTTGCCCGCAGGCTTCCCGTTCAAGCGCGATGAGGAACTTGAAGCGCGGCAATTCAACTTCACTCTGCCAAACCAACTCCCCGTCCAGGGGACCCTGCCGTTCGGGCTCACCGTGACACAAGGGGCGCAAAATAGCACCGTTGGCCTTCCTTCAGGCTTCCCGTTCAAACGCGACGAGGAGCTCGAAGCACGCCAATTTAACTTCACCCTGCCCAACCAACTTCCTGTTGCCGGCGAGCTCCCCTTTGGCCTCACCGTCACACAGGGCGCGCAGAACAGCACCGTCGGCCTTCCTTCGGGCTTCCCCTTCAAGCGCGATGAGGGGCTTGAAGCACGCCAGTTCAACTTCACCCTTCCGAACCGACTTCCTGTTCAAGGCACGCTTCCGTTCGGCTTGACCGTGTCGCAGGGCGAGCAGAACAGCACTGTCGGCCTTCCTTCGGGTTTCCCGTTCTGAGGTCGGCACACTTCCGTACAAGAAATCTGTATGATACCCCACATGTACTTGATCTGATTGGTGCTGGCACCTTGGCGGACGATGTATTACGATACCCTAGCCTCTGCTGTATCTGCGAATATTATTTCTTTGCCTCGATATAACGCGAGCTCGGAGCAATCAAGCAGCTCGTGGTGGTGATAAGATACGATCAGAATCTGAGATCCTGCAGTAGATCGCGTTTTGATCGCGCGCCGGATGACACCGGCACCGACTCGCGCAGCCTAAACGCATTTTTGTCTTTTGACCTTCACCACTTCTCCGTGCGCTTCAAACCATATCAAGGCATCCCTCTAGATGCAGACGAGTGCTCGGGGTCGTCCGTGACCACTGGCAGTCTGGCGAACCTTCCGAACGTCGACATTCGCGCCTGCGATCAGTTACTCGCCTAGTTGTCGCCTAGTTGTCGCCTAGAAGACTCTTTGCGAGGGCACTGCCATCTTGACAGTAATATTGATGATCGTCAAGCACTCAGATGCATCAGCGTCAACGTGGACTGGGACAGCCCTTGTATATACATACACGACAATCCATGATTGCCTTCGGGACACCTAGTCCGCTACTCTAATCGCTTCCTTCCCAACGGGTTTGCTGTACAAAGTCATTGCCTCGGGTGCTCTGCGCCCAATAGACCTCGCGCATCCTCCGTGCGCTCTGTCCTTCAAGTACTATCGCAACGCTGGGCGGGCACAATGTGTCTCGTGCATGATGCCCGTCATGGCCGTTCCATGCGTGGTTCGCACGAGCCCTGTTAGCCATGGCCAGTCTCTCCTTCATCCTCTGCATCTCAAATACTCCCATCCTCTTTTCTGCATCCCTCGCTGCTTTCTGCGGATACAGATACACTTCCCGCCGCATGAGCTTATGCAAGGCGACTCGGAAACCAAATGCTACGAAGAAGCAGAATAACGCGGCGATGAAGTTCGCCATTGACAGTTCTTCAGGCCCGTCAGTGATGTCGACAATGGATGTATCCGTTGGTATAGCGCTGCCAGAAGGCGCGGGTATGGAGTACACGTTCATTCGCGTTGGTAAAGAGAGTGTTTCGAGTGGCTCGATGCCGCGTGCGACGTTACTGCGATGTCGAGAACAGGGCCGGCCTGATGTAGGATTGGGAGAGAAGAGGGGGCGTTGGATAATGCAATATGGATGCCTGTCTCTTATAAGTGCGGGCTGCAGACGTCGTGGTTATCCGGACTCACAAAGTGGTTGCCAAACTCCGTGGCCATGGACTCTGAAGTCCACCCCGGGAAAGGGTGAAGCATTACAATGCTCGCGCTCAAGTCTTTGTTCAATTGTTGACGGGTCTTAGTCGACTGTCTATCTGAGGGACGGTCTTCGCTCTACCCATTCTTACATGGATCATTTGAGCGGTCTTCATTGGAGTCTTACATCGGGATGTGTATCTAGATATACTTCAGTACAGTGAGCCATGTTATTCTCACGCGCTCTGATCGAGACTTACGACACACGATTAGATCGCCTTGCAGAGATAACTGCTGAAGCTGGTAGGCTATAGATCGACGAGATCTTGTATGGAGACGGTTCCTCGTCGTAACCCCGTACATGTGCCGTGGTGGCTCTACTCTACGTGACGGTCCTACCTGCGAAAAGCTCGCGATAAGTCCATGGATGGGCGGATCTGTGGTGGTAATCGGTTCCGCGATCCAACATGAACCTCACACACGTCTCGGTGCCGACTTGACATGAAAAGGACGCACCCTCTCTTCCACCGGAAGAGTTTCTTCTACGGGGAAGTCACGAAGCCCGGCCGCTCAACAGAAGGCAACGCGCTTCTATCACGGATACAATGCGGCTCTGCGCCTTATTCCATCTGACCAAACCTCGAGGCTCGCAAGGTGTGAGTTCCTAACTTGGCCTTGACAACTGTAGCATGCCCTTGCGGACGATCGCATGCCAGTGCGGACGATCGTGTGGGTCTGAGCCTTTCTGACGGTCATTCAGTCTCGGTGGAGTTGCGATACCGCTCGTGGCTTGAGGGCGGATAGCAGAGTCCAAAGGGGTTCAAGGGGCACGTCTTCCATTATGCAGACGCTCGACCAACCGATGTCGCAAAAGCGTCCCCTTCCGCCTCGGAGTGTGCTGCCGGGTTTCATAGCGTATGTGCTGCGGAAGCCGGAATGCGGCCGGTTCAGTCTGCGGAGAGAACGATTACCGATTACGACGAAAGCATCAACTTGCATTTAGCTGCTACGGGAAGGTCGACGATTCCATGATACGAAGGGTGTTCCTGGGCGTTGAACTTGGGCGACCATTGTACCAGGGTTTGTCTATACTCAGAGTGTAGCGGGAGTTAGAGGTATACGCGCGAAACCCTAGGCTGGTCCCTCGAAAGACAATATGGCAAGACGCAAACGGGTCGCGCGCGAAATGGACGCGAACGGACGCGAACGGCAAACGCCGAAGCCTATTCGGGGTTGTCGGGTTGCCGCGTGGTCTCGGACCGGTGCGGATGTGTAACTAGACGCGCGCGATGATGTTGGCAGAACAGGTTTCCTTTGCAGCTTATACTTTACAGTTCTGCGGCATGGATCGAGAATGCACCGGCCGAGTCGGCGGCGCAGGTTATGTGCGGCCACGAGCCATGAGCGCCGTTACTGCTTAAAGCGCGCTCTAATCTCGCGCACTCATCGTTGTCCGTATCCCCGTTTTCAATGGCAGGCTATCCCGGCAACGAGCGCCACTCGCAATATCGTCGGTCTAGCGATTATACTTCGCTCGGCGATGCACTCGGAGGGCAGCCCGTATACCCTCCGCACTCCCAGAGTCAATCTCAGTCACAGCCTTCTCGTGGGCATACTAGTGGACAACAACCTCCACAGTACCCCGCATACTCGGTTCAACAGCCTCAGCCGGCTCACCATCAAAATTACCACCAACCCCAGAACTGGTCCACGGACCACTGGGGTCATCCACAACAACAGTCTGGGTACCCCAATCCGTCTCAACACCATCAGCAAGGTCTAGCTGGACCATCGCCTGGGCCCTCGAATGCACGCCCATCATCTCCTCATGTCGCCCGCCGACCAACTGCTAATGCCCGCCACGGAAGTGTGATATCTCGCACCGCTTCCCCGCGATCATCTGCGGCCTCCCCGCCACCCAACAATTTTTCTCAGGTACATTCATTATTAATTTACACAGGCCATCCAAGTCCTAAGCGAGATATGTAGATCGCTGGAACGTATCAAAGCATCATGCACGCCATTCCCGGAGACCGCCCGCCCGACTCTGCAGTTCTTCAACGTATGTTGGCCGCCGCAACGCAGGGACAACGGCAGCTTGCTGGAATGACCCCGCCGCCGCCGCCGCCTCCACATCGCGCTTCGTCGATACCATCGCCTGCGCCCATCTCAGCGCACACACCCGCCCCCAGTCAGCATATGCCTCAGCCGGCGAGTCCCAGTTCGAGTTCAAACACGTCAGGATCCAACCCCGGGCACTTTGTACAACAGCAGGCGGACACCGGGCAGGCATGCTTGGGATGTGGTGCAACCCAAACGCCCGAATGGCGTCGAGGCCCGTTAGGTCCCCGAACGCTCTGCAACGCGTGCGGACTCGTCTATGCGAAGATGGTACGTACACTTTGTTTTACTCTGCTTTTCTCGGATATTCGCTGCGACAGACTCGCTGACGCCTGGCTTACCGGACCAACAGCTCAAGAAGCGCCAAAACGAACCTGCGGGGTCTACTAGTCTTTATGGCATCAACGACGAGGACGAGGATGGGAACAGTCCCTCCTATGCTCCACGATAACGTACGCCCGTTCAATGTTGTGGCTGAATGCGGAGCCGCGTGTACGAAACGGCATCTGGGGTGTTTCCTTCGAAGTCACGCATCGTGCCGCCCTGACCAGCGAGCCTCGACGGGGTTGACATCGGCTCGGGGACCCACACATCTATGCATCGAATGTGGCACACTCCCCAGATCCCGACCTGGCCGGCATCTCATCGCTTCCTGTCTCGCCGTCAAAATGTTCTCGTCTTCATTATCTCTGTTCTGTTCATTGTCGTACACGATGTTCTGTGCCATGCTTCTGGTTCGCTCTCCGGTCTCTTGTCTGCTCTTCTGTGTGTACCATACATGATGGAAGACGGGCGCCATCCCGTCCATTAACTGTACCTCTGTAAACTCCTTGCCATTATCTCTACAAGATCGTTGCTATCTCAACGTAACGTACCAGTGGATGTACAGGCGCAAGGGGCAATCTGCACGGTCTCATTCAAGTGCCATCTGGATCAATGGCCTCCTCAATCGCTCCCCAACCCGCTGAATTCCGCAAGCAGTAATACGTATGCCTCACCCTTCGGCAGCGCAATCATGTATGCTTCAGGGATGACACCTGGTATACCGATCCTTCAAGACTGATCGAACGTCCATATAATGCCTTGCGAGTAAACTCCCACATTCTCAGCTCGCTCATATACATTACTCGTCACAATCTCGCAACTTCCTCGGTTCAGGTGCAGGGTGTCGAACCCCGTCTCTCCCGGGCGCCTGATGCAGTCCGGGTTTTCTCAGCGAGGAACTCTGGCCATGCACATATCTCACACCCCCTTGCCAGAGTCGAGTCTGCGTCGAGTCCGTGCCCGAGTTGAGCGCCACGCACGAGTGAATACGAGCTTCAATGATGTCCCTCTTTTCTCCCCACAGCTGAGTGTACGCCCTTGCTGTGATCCGCATCGACGGCAAAGTCCAGCGGCGTGGGTGTCGGTCTTTATCATGGCAGCATACTTCGACGGTAGCTTTCGTTCCGTCAATGGTAACTTACACGTCCTGGCTCCTTGCTACCGTTGCTCGAGCCCCCTGTTCTATAGGTTCTGATGAGCCTGCTATCGTTTCTGGGGTCGCCACTGAGCATGACCATGGTCAAGCAAAGCTGACCGTGACTCTCAAGTGGAAGCTCCACGAGGGATCGAAGCCTCTGCTACAACTGTTTTTCAGCGCTTCTCGCCAGCAGTCGTGCAAACAGGTCTGTAGACGGCCAAGGTCACCGCGTTCGCTCGCGTTCTGCCGATCCCAGATATCAAACTTCTCATCGCGGGGAACTCACTTTGAACCATGCCTGCTCGGGGGCCATGCGTATCGTAGATCGCGCTCATAGGCCTTCCGGATCAGGATTGTTATCTTAAACAAGAAAAGATCCGACATCTGTGGCATACGCGATGGGCGCGCGCATGCGCAGATGTCCCCATGATGTCTTCCTCATCTGCATCAAGCTGTCAGAGTGCACAGGACATTTGTGGCACAATACGCACCACCGCATCATGCCAAGTCATTGAGTACTGCCTTTTGCGCAGTAGATCCTTGTCACGACAATGCGGTCCTTGAAATTACCTGCGACGTTAGTATATCGCACAGAAAAATGCTGATTGGTACTCCGACGCTCTCTTTCGTTCAAGCTATCGCCGACCCTTCGCCAGACCCAGCTAGACGGTCTCGTAGTCCTACCGAACTAATACTGAGCACTGAGTTTCCACCCGACACTCCGAGATTTCCCTGCGTCGTCCTTGCACCGGACGTGGCAACAAAACCAAAGGCCGCCTTTCGGCGTCTCGATATGGTCTAATGGTCGCCAGCACATACACGCTGTGGCACCACCCCTTCCGCGTTCTCAATTGCTCGGTGACCACGCTGCCTCCATTCATTAGTCGAGGGGTCGGCGCCAGATTGTGCAAGAATCAAAGCCCGTGGCATCGCAGCATGTGTTGCATATACTGCTCAGACCGCAGTCGCTCCGGCCCCGCGTCGAGCGCGGCGGACGATTGATTGAGTCGTACACCAACTTGCGCGAAGAAAAATAACAGAATTACCACCGACGCCTACCTGAAATGGGTCGCGGCGTTTCTGGTCAAAGAAGAAGCAAACAGGAGAATTCAAGGCAAAACGTATTGCCTATGGATGCGCCAATTGCCAGGCGTGCAGGTCGTCGGACTGAGAGCGGCTTATTTTACAGTAGCGGGCGATCCGCCACCCACGGTGATGGCGAGAACGGGTGCTCTGTGAGAACCACATCATCTTACGTCTTATTGGCCGGGACTTACGACCAGGGAACCTGTACCTCCGACGGTCAGAGATCAATGAAAACGCATCCTTCCGAGGATCGTACCTTTTCGTGGCAAGCATTACATTCGTTCTTGAATCCGAGGTTTCCAGTCGTGGTCGAGTCACCGAGTAGCAGTGGCAACGCCGGGCTCAATCGCTCGGATAGGAGTGTGCTTCTGTGAGCTAACCCGGTCACTCATTGAGAGGACACATGACGGAGATGAGTAGCGCCAGCATAGATCGCCTCTAGTTAGCTTCTGAGTTGGATCCCGAGGAGAAGATCACCTGGTAACCTTGAAGAGCGAGGTGCGCCTCATACCGTATCGCCGCTATACGGAAGATGCATCCAGTATCATCCTCGCAGACGTGAATGCCTCTAATCTCAGCAAGCAATCAACCTATTCATAACAGAAGTAGTGGCGTATGTGTCTTTCTCTCATGATCAATTACTCAATGTCATCTTCTATAAGAGTCTTGTTCCCGCCCCACACATGATGCCACCCCTGTGAGGCGGAAATCGAACGCGGGGTCGGCCGATGTAGTGGGAGCTATCCTACTCCTTACGCGTTTGAGAGCGAAGATCCTGTAGAGTTCTCAGAGCCTACAGAGCGGGCGGAAGCTTGACACGAACGGGGAGGTCAGGGCAACACCAGAGCGCTAACCAACTGCAAGCGTGAGCCATTAGCTTCGGACTAGCATGCAGATGGCAGCTATCCTGCGCCTGAAAGCTAGTATACCGTCAGAAGGTCGCCAAGGATACAAACTAATTGGACGGCATATCGGCGTTGAAAGAGGCCAGAAGACAACCAGTGTCGCGGTCATGACCAAGACTTGTCAGGTTTGACACGTCTAGCCGTCTTCGTCTGATTCGAATGACACGATGGAATTTGAAATGGAGGCAGAAGCATATGCCGCATTGGGAAGTAAGCAGGGCAGATTGTGGGGTAGGACATCCAGTGGAAGTGCGGATGGAGTGCGGTGTCAGGTCTCGAAGTCGAACTTGAAAGAATCCGAGTAGGATCATGCGGGCCGCGAGCCCGCCTCCCACGCAACACCGTGACTGTATAAACCGGTGGGCGCTTGTGTAGGCACGAGTTCTGCTTGTGCCGTTGTACACGTCCGAGCGAGACCGCTATCCGAACATGACGGGACGGATGACACGCCGAACCCGCTCTCAGCTTACGCCCTCATGCGGCTTCAAGCCGGCGGAAGGCAAAGAAGTGTATTGAACTGGCTACAACTACATTACAATCACTTCCTCCAGGTACTCGTCAATGTGTTCGTCCAGGCCAGCGTGACACATCTATGCTGTAGACTTGGCCGCCCAGGGACGCGACATCGCATACCGTCGTATCGCATCGTCTGCTTCGGATTCCTCCGCTGAAGGCGGCCGAACTCTGAACTCTTGCGTCGCGTGAGCTAGCGCGGTGCGCTCCTCAATAGTATGGTACAGTGGATGACCCACGTCGCCGTATTTTGACCCGATGTATCCGAAGTCATGGCCGAGCGCCGAGCTTGGGGGATTTCGGGTTCTTCGGAGTGCTGGTGTGTACAGGTCGATCTCGCGGGATGACTATGCGTCGAGCCGAGAAAGAATGAGACGATCGGCGATATCTGATACAGCCTCTGAGAACGTGGGTTGGGCAATCAGACTCGCAACTCGGGGGACCAAGAGGATGAGCTGAACTGTGTCGACGAGTCAACATGTAGGAGATCGACCCGAGGTCAAGCACACAGGAGCCGCTTTTCGCTACTCCGTTCACATGCAATCTTATGGCTCACGGAACGAGGGGCCGGCCGTCTTGTGTGGTAATCTCTTCACGGGATATTCTGCGAACTGAGGATCGAGCCGGCCCTGGAATCGTATCTAACGCGAGTCAAAGGTCCGATCGATGGGAAGGTTGCTGTAGAGGACACGCCTTGTGTGTGCAGATCTGGGATTGAGTATGCGCGGCCCAAAACATTGTCCTGTACGACAAGATGCAGAATCCGTCCGACGCGAATATCCGTGAGTATATATGTGTGAATGTGAATACGTCAGCATTGCTGGTGCTAGCAATCCGAGGGAGTCTCCGAGTTCAGGTTCAGCTGAGCCGTAGAATTCACTGTGCGGTGGCGACATCTGAAATGAGAGCGATGAGGAAGACATGGTGGCGAAAGGCAATATGCAACCGTTTGAGCCACGGAGATGTAAGCGTGGGTAATCCGACTCATCGATCAATTCCGGCTCGAGCTCGCTGACCGACCACCCGCTTCAAATTCTTGACACCGACCACGTCGAGCTTCATCATCGCACTGTAGCGCTTACAACCATCATCTATCGACGCACTAACATCGTCTTCGAAACAAACCCTAGCGGCGGGCAAGCTACCCATCTGCGATCTCTCGCGCTGTGCCCGCCTTCACCTCCACGTCAGCTCCGCCACCAAGTTTACCAGCTATGGCGAGCTCTCGTCCTGGCTCGCCTTTGTTTGACGTGCCAGAGTTTCCTGCGCTCAGGCGCGTAAAGCCTCTACCCAAACGGCGGCGTACATCTGCGGAAGCGCCGTTGCCTGCTCCACCACCACCACCCGCTGACGGTGACACAACGTTCTTCATGCCAATCACCGACGACGGAGATGGAAGCGCCAGCGAGGGCGATTATCCCGACCCGCACGCTGGCAATACGAAGAAGCGTAAAGTGCCAGCTCACGCTCTAGGCGGGCCCGACACGCGAGCTGCCTCACCCGGAGCGGCTGATGATCCGCCAGGCGGCGGCGGGCAACCTAATTCCACAAACGGCACTGCAACTGCTACTGGCGGCTATGCCACGGACGATACCGACGGTAGTCTGACCGCGCGAGGCATGAATCGGTTACATACAGCCACGCGCGTTGGGCTTGCTCGAAAGGAAATGCTGCGTGCGCGCCGCCGGCAGTTGGGAACAGTACTCGGGACTCCCGCGCATGGCGATACCCTCGCCCTCGATCAAGCTCTCGCTATGCGCTATCCACTACTTGCGCGTGTTAACGGGCAGAAGCCGGATGATGCCCCGCACGGCAAGCTCCGCCGCCGTCTGATCGCGCCACCCGAGAGCAAGATACTCAAGATCACGAACGGAGAGGAGAACGAGGATCCCGACAATGGCATCACTGCTCCGGCAGGCGACTTTACGTTTGAGTGCCACTCGGCAAGTGAGTACATCCGCGCCCTTAAGCGCCCATGACTGTTACTTCGCTACACTCGCTGACATCTTCCCTTCCATCAAGCCGGCGATCGCCTTGCCGAGACGTTGGCCGAAGTTGCCGTCTTGCATGAGCGCATCGAGGCCGAACTGGCACGTCAAGTCGCCCGTGCCGAAGAGGCCGCGCGCATTGCTGCTGAGCATGCTGCCGCAGCGCGACTGGCTGCGAAGGCGCGTCCGCAGACAACCATCACGCCGTCTCACGCGCCGGCGCGCAAAGAACCCGCTGCATTGCCGCCATCTACGCCCGCTCCTCCTGCCACTACCAACAAGAAGGGCAAGAAGAAGAAACGCTCGGCACTCGCGAACGCTAGCAATCCTCACCATCTACGCAATTACGTTCCGAGCCGACTCCCCAATCAGCCGGCGACAAATAAGGAGAATGCCGCTGCGCAGAACCTGCTCAGTCCATTGCCCGTACGGTTTCTCGCGGCCGGTACTGGTGGTGGGAAAGATACGGTCGATCCGCAAGACGAGTGGATCTGCCCGACTTGCGAGTATCGACTTTTCTACGGCGGCGATGCGGAGTATAGGCTTGCGATACGAAACAGGAAGAAGATACTGAAGCGTCGGAAGAGGGCGAGGGAGCGTGCGGCAGCTGCTGCAAGTGGGAAACGGTCAACGGCCGCTGCGCCTGCGCCAGCGCCCGCACCCGCGCCTAGTGGAATCGAGGAAGAGTTTGACGATGAGGATTATGAAGATGGACCGGAGGACGTTGGAGGCGATTACAACAACGTGCCACGATATGCTGATGGAGTGGGAACTGGGCCCAAAGGGAGGATCAAGGATGGCGGACAGTGAGCGCGGTGGGCGCGGGGGTACTCAGGCTAGAATGCACTGCGCCGCTCGCTTAGGCCCACCACGCGTTCATTGGTTCTCGTTGTCTCTTCATCTGTCCGTGTCTCCTCTCAGTCTCTCAGTCTCGTATCACGTCTCAATCACGCCTCTTCTCATACTTTCATCCGTCTCTGTCCGTCTCTTCTCATCTCGTAGATCATCTCAGTTCAGTCACGCTCATCCGCCTACTATCTCCCATCGCTCGTTGACCTCTATTCTCCCGTTTCATTCCCAATTCTCCCCGTTAAGTACTCTCCTGCCTCTACTCCATCCTATCGTATTTGTCTCTACTCGTCACGCGAGCCTACGAACACTCAAACAGAGTCTACGAATTACACCCCTTCGCTCAAGGCTTCTGGTAGTTTCTGCATACCTACTTATACACTCATTTGGTGGAACATATCTGAGAGCGTGTTAGTCTCATACGTTCGCACGCCCTATCTGACACTCTGGGGTACTCTCGCAGCGTGTCACGAGCACAGCTCCGGGGCAAGGGAGTGACGCCGGGATCGACGCCACACGAAAATGTGCGCCGCGGTCACCACCGCCACCAGGCCACACCCTGACGTGAGTGGGATCATGTCATGTTGCCTTCTGACCGTCATCATCACCGCGTCTCCCTGCATCGACTGGCGAAAGATCATTCTCGCCATCGCGTGCAGCTGCGTAGGAGCATAGGCTTCGCATGCATCCGAACATGCATGGTGACCTCCAGCAACCGCCTTCTTGGGCTCACGTCGAGGAGGCGCTCGTCGTATCGGATCAGTCCCCTCTAGGCACCCCTCTCAGCAACGATGTTAGCGACCATTCTTCTTCTACCGAGTCTAAGCCTATGACCGACGTACCGCTGGGATATTCCCAACAAGATCTCAACGCAGCTAGCCCGATGGTCCCGGACCCTGGGGATATGCTAGAAAAGTTGAGGGTCTCATATGCCACGAGATGCAAACGCGGTCCCTTAACCCCCGAACTGCGGGATATCTCCATCGCTTTCACTGGCCTCATGGGCTGTGTCAGAAGTGAGAGCGTTGAACATGTGTTGCTGTGGGATCGTATGTGGCAAATCGGGCTGGGGGATCTGTGTGAAGAGATCGTAGAGGAGAGTGACTTCTACTCGGAACATCCGGTATGTAGGGCATAAGTTCTGCAATCGGTTCGTACTAAATCGAGGCGCTTGCAGGACTGGATTATCACCGTGCTCGAGATGGTAGATTTAACCGTCTCCAGGTACGCCAGGGAACGCCCACGGTTGATACACGGACCCTCGGGCAAGGAGCAACTACAACGCTTGATAGTGTCGCTATGTCGCACCGGGTACTGCCATCGTGAACTCTTCACGGACGACAATGTAGTTTTGCGTGCATACGCTCCTGGAGCAACTGCCGATCTCCGTTTTCGCCTCCAGCACCTACTCAACATGTCCTTTACTATTTACGGGAAGGCGGGGAACTACAGAAGCTTCGATATGGGCAGTGCAGACGCTACAAGACATTTTAGGCGAATGACTACCCTCCTCTGGTGTTATCGTACTCCCGGGGAGTGCTGGCAGTCCGACACTTTGATTACACTCTCACTTACAATAGTGTCCGAGTCACCACCGGAAGACTGTATCGATTTCTTTGACAATGAGGTGTTGAAGCTCTCGGGGCCGTACAACTTTCTGACCAGGATCTGCGACTATCTGCGGCGGAGAGACTTTCCCACTCCAGTTTGTCAAGAACGTCTACTACAGGGCTTAGGCCGGGTGATCGCGTTTCGCCCCTTGTGGCCACATTACTCTTCCTCGGGTTTCTTTAACGCCATGAAGGATATGCTCGATTCATATGCCTCGCTCAACGACGCCGATCAGTGGCACCTGAGTGAAGCGGCTCTCAATATCCTCGCGTACGTCTCCCCTATATCGAGCTGGCTAGGTTCTAACAGCCACCAAGCTTTCTTAGCGAATCTGCGCCTATCAATGACGCCGCAAGTCATCTAATCCGGCACTTTGATATCATTGAATACGTCTCGCGATCATCTATCATATACGCCAGGTCTGATGCTGTTCTTGGAGAGGATGACAGTGAGCGAGGAAACCCGGTGCTCTGCTCAAGCTTCACTCATTGGAACGCTAGACGCGTGTGTAGAGGCTCTCAAGATCTACACTCGCATTGCAGCGGCGTTGAGCCTTCGCACCGGGAAGAACTTGCTCAAGAAGGTCTTTAGACAGGCAGCACGCCGCGAGTGGTATCGGACCTTGGTCGCCCTCCGCGAGATACAACTCCGCAATGAAGAAGCCAAGCGCAAGTGCACACCGCTCATCTCGGCGTGGCAGACTCTCGGACGAGCCTTGAACCTGGACGAAGCGAGCGAAAAGATAGACTATGAGCGGGAGATGAAGAAGGCAATGCAGATGTGCGCATGGCTGAAGTGCGATTATCATCAGAAGAGATCACCTCACCCCACTCGAGCCTGTCTGGGGTGCGCTGAAGCGCGGTACTGCTCCAGAGAATGCCAGCAGAAGTGAGTGGCCGCTCGTTCCGATGCTCAGTTGGCTGACTATGACAACCCAGAGACTGGAGGGAAGGAAGGCATAAGGCTAGATGCAGAAGATTGAAGGCTGAGGCCCATTCACATCGGCAATAAAGTGTTTGGGACGCTCGACTATTATATCTACGCGGTCGCCGCAGACTATGCACATACTAGTGCAACGTCATATCATCAGATCAGAAGGGTATCCTTATCAGCCTTGTCGTACCATCTAGGCCGAGTGCTGGTCTGTTTCTACGTCGATGCAGACTGCGTGTATATCCGCCCTGGGTGCCAAGTCCGACACAGACCGGCGGCGGCGGCGTTAGGCGCGTCAGCGCGGGGTTAGGGTTACCGCGCAACAACGCGCTCAGATGAGACACGGCTGCGGTGCGTCTGTCGCCGGTGTGCTCTTCACCACCACCATCTCGACATGGACTCCTCAGACAGCTCCGAGTGTGCTCCTGGTGTGCTGGATACCCTGCGTCCTGCGTGGGCGGATTACCCGCCATTCTCAAGTTCAGACCCCGCTGACGCGTCGGACGCGTCGGACTCGGACACCTCGTCTATCTTGACGCATGTCAGCCATACCTACGGCGACGAAGATATGGATGCGCTCATCAGAGAGAAACCCATGGAGATGCTGGAGAATTTGCGAGTGCTTAGTGCTCAACGCGTACACCGAGGTCCGAACGAGGAACTTCGCAAAGTGGCCAACACGTTTGCGCGCGTTGCGGAGAAATGCATGAATACAAACTCGGAGGATGCCACGTTACCGGAATCGAGGGAGATGAAGAAGATGTGGCGCGACATTGTCAAGCTTGGACTGATGGACTACCTGGAGGATGTTGTGAAAGGGGATACACTATTCGACGAGAACCCTGTAGGTCTTCATCGAGCATTCTCCCGCTGCCGCTCTTTCTCATATGCACAGATCTGGGTTAACTATATACTTATACTCGTCGACGGTGTACGGCACTGTGTCACCAAGTCCTCCAATGCCCTCGATATCGACCAGTACCTTCGTCTCTTCGGCAATCTCTGCCAAAACGCCTACATTCATCGCATGATCTTCGTCGAAGGGAACCACATCGTCGACCGCTATGCTCCCGACTACGCTCAGAAACTTCGTCTACGTATGAACCGCATTCTCTGTCTCTCCCTCGGCAAACCTCTCGACCTCCTCAAAGGCCGCCGTCTGGCCGATCTGGAAGACTATAAGCACCTGCACAGATTGCTGTTGCATAATTGGTATTACCGTGCGGACGACGATGGATGGGAAGTTCATATCCAGCTTACGTTTGCTTTCGCCGTACTGGAGTCGCCCAATGCGGAGTCGACGGTCGAGGATTACGAAAGCTTCGCCGACGAGATTATCTATGCGCTCGGCGCGCGGCAATTCTTGGAGAGCTTGAGTAAGATGGTGAGGGATAAGGAGGTTCCGCCATTGATACTCGGGAGGGATCTGTTGTTTGTGAAGTATATTGTGCCGTGGAAGCCTTTTCATCCGCATTATTGTTCGTCGGGGTTCTTTGAGGCCGTAAGGGAGGCCCTGGATCGATATATGTGCATGGGCGCGTCGCTCAAGAATGAGTGGCAGGTGTATGAGCCGACTTTGTTATTGCTCACGTGGGTCATTCCAAATTGTGCATTGAATGCCGACTCACTAATGCACCACTCAGAGAGATCATTCGGAGAGCGCCAGTGGGAGAGGGTGCTGGTCCGCTCATCAAGCGATTTGACGTTATAGAGCTCATTGCATGCTCGTCCATATGTTATGCCCAGCTTGCGACCGTGGAAGACACTAACAGTACGTGTCGGCACATATATTGCTCGTCTCAATGGGTTGAACTCATGATCGTTTCATAGCGGCATGTGTGGAAGCTATACAGGTGTTCACGGCTAGTGCACATACCTTGGCACTCTATTCGAACAAGAACGTACTCAAGAAGGTGTTCAAGAAGAACCTAAAGGATGAGTGGTATGCGACGCTCAAGACGCTCCGGGATATGCCCGCGCGCGGACAAGCTGCTTCACGCCGGCGTACTGCTAGATTGGCGGCGATGTGGCTTGAACTTGGGCTGGCCGTTGGACTGGATGAAGATGAAGAGAGAGAGCTGTATGAGAAGGAGATGCGTAAGGCAGCGCAGAAGTGTGCTTGGAAGGAATGCGAGTATTACAGGAGGAAGCCGCCAAGGCCTACGAGTCGCTGTGTGGGTTGTGGCGATGTGAGGTATTGTAGCCGGGCATGTCAGAGGAGGTGCGTCTTCTGAAACGCTCGCGGTGAATCGTGATGACTGATGATTGATCAGGCATTGGAAAGCGGAGCACCAAGCGCATTGCGGGAACAGGCTGAAGGATGGGCCCAAGTAGACGGTTAAGAACCAGCGGTACCATCTCCAGCTCAGTTCGAAGGTTTCTCCGTCACTTTCCCCAGGGTGATTCGTGCTGGGTATTTTTATAGCATATATATATATATGAGCGACGCAGGTCGCGATCTTTGACGAAGTGTACCGCCAGTAGTGTGACTCTAGACTCAAGCGTGTGTCGGCTCACCTCAGAGCCTGCAGCACTGTGCTAAAGGAGTACAGTCCGGCTCGGGTTGGGAATGAAAGAAGCTGGCAAGAGTGAGCAGCGCGCATATGGGAATGTTGCAGTCCGAGCGCCAGATCCGTCCCACGTGGTGACGTTCGCCCGATGAGAAGCTTGGAATTGACCACCATCTCGCTTTGGGCGGCCGGTTGCCCCGCCTCGTTACTGAATATTGTAGTCCGTTGGAGAGCCCAAATCGCGTATGAACGCCGCATACGTCTGCCTGGGAAGACTCTCATCCTGTGGTAGATCCTTCTCAAGCCTTTCGCGTCTTGTCGCCATGTCAGATGTCGCTCAAAACTCTAAACCACCTCGCGGTGGATCGCATGGTGGCCGAGGCGGCGGTGGTCAAAGAGGAGGAGGCAAGGGTAAACTTCGTGGCTTACCGAATGACTCGCCCGAAGTCCGCTTGTCCAAAACACTTTCCTGGTTGTTGCGCCACGGCGCACAGTCTGTTGGTCTCTTTATGCGTCCTGATGGATATGTCCGTGTTGATGATCTCGTTCGTACTCGCTACCGGATGGATCACTTACCGACCATACTGAAAGAGCATACAGCTCGCCACTCCGCAGCTTCGCGACCAGGATCTTGCTCTTCCGAAGTTGCAAAAAATGGTCGCGGAAAATGCAAAGCAGCGGTTTAAGCTCGTCCAAGAGCCCGCTCCAGATGGAGGTCCTGACGTATGGTGGATACGTGCGGCTCAGGGACATTCGCTTGCTACGGTGAAGCTGGATGATCTGAAACCCATACTCACGGCTTCGGATGTGCCCATGGCAGTACATGGAACCAATCAACAAGCTTGGAAAGCGATATGTATGTCAGACGGTTACTCAACCAGGGCGACGCCCTGACGATTACTAGCCGAGCAAGGACTGTCGAAGATGAAGCGCAATCACATCCATCTGGCTCAGGGTGTTCCCTCGGACGGTGTCATCAGCGGTAAGAACCGTTTGCTCACTTCAAGCAACGAGCAGTGCTGATGGCGCCTTATAGGTATGCGTAACAGCGCACAGGTCTTGATCTACATCGACCTGGAGCGTGCCTTGGCAGACGGCCTCAAGTTCTATCTTTCCGATAACGGCGTCATTCTGTCAGAAGGCAACGAAGCAGGTAGCATTGCGCCTACATACTTTGCCAAAGTGACGGATAAGCACGGGCAATCTATAGCAAGGTAGTACGTGGGTGGTATGCTATCGAACAGTATATGTACATGTGCATTACAAACCATGTGTCAGTAGAGAATTATAGGAAGCGTAAAGGCGTAGCATCTACATAGTCCTCGTCTCGGGATCGTCCAATCATTCGCTCAAGAGCCATGAAGCAGAGTCCGCAGTCGCTTTGCCAGCGTCAAGAGCCCGGCTCTTCGACCGTCTCTTCGTCTTCTGAGGTGCAGAAGGCTCTTCATCAGAGGACGATGAAGTTAGGTCCAGCGTTTCTCGGTGGCTGCGAGTCCAATCCAACTTTCGCGACGAGCTAGAATAAATTTGAGCATCATCAACTGTCTCCCATCAGACGCGACGTACCTAGCAACCTTCACTTGCTCTGGAGGCTGTCGCTGTCGGGCCAGTGGTCGCGGTGTAGCATCGACGTCTGGGGCACCCTCCGCTCCGCTACTAATCTCCATATCACTCGAAGCGGCCCCAGCTCGCTTATTGACATTCCGCGGCTTGGGACGAGTTCGTACGGCGTTCTCCACGACCTCGATGGTATCACTGTCCGAACTTGGCTTCGAAGCCACATCTCTCCGAGAGCGCGTTGAGCGTGTAGACCTCGCTGATCGCACGGAAGCGTCACTGTCAGATTCGATCTGACGTGAAACGGCACGAGTCCGTGGCCTGGACTCGTTTGTGGGCGGGGGGTCGCCGACGTCTGAGCGTACGCTGGCGTCTGGTGTAGGCTTTCGCCGTTTGGATGTCCGAGCGCGACGCCCGCCCTCCTCGCTACCGGCTTCGGACAACTCGTCCCTCTTCCGTCTCTTCTCGTTCTCCTCCCTCAACATCTCCTCCTCCACCCGCTCTTCCACAGCAATCACCTTCGCCCTAGCCCGTGCACGCTCTCGTACCATTCCCTGCCCAATGTCACGATGATCTTGATCACCGTCATGGAGAGGGTACATGATAGCGCCGAAACGGGCACTCTCCACGAGTATTCGTGAGGCCGTGGTTGCGTCCACGTCCATGTCTTCCATGACGAGAGCGAGAGCGGCTTCAGGAACCAAGACACGTTGGAGCACGATGTCTGGAGAGAGGGCGCCCAGCGATCCGGCGTCGAAGGATGAGGGCGGGAAGAGGTTGTAGATGGTTTGATAGATGATGTGCGCGCCCTTCTCACCGTAGCTGCGAGTGTCATCAGTAAGGTAATCCTGCAAAGAAACGGTATTACATACTATCCGGGTTGAACCTTGTCGAAGCTCTCGAATTGGCCCTTAACACCTGCGACGGCGCGACTACCTGACTTGCGCACGTCTTCCTCTACGGAGCGCCAGAAGACGCTCTCCCGTCTCGCTTCCTCATCACCATGCACAAGCTTCTCCAGGCTCGGCTGCAAACGCTCGATGCGGCCTCGCAATGCATTCCAGGCTATGTTTGTTGGCCATCCTCTCGCTCGTGCTCGGGGAAGCTCTTTCGTCTCGAAATCGTGCCGCTCGCATACGGCGCCGTGAACCGAGACAGGAGCGCGCCGTGCGTGAGGATGCCCAGGTCGCGGTGCCGGCTTCGAGCGCCTCTCGGCCGCGGCGAGCAGACGGGTGAGCTGCGGTGTACGCTCCTCGAGGGAGGGCATTGGCGCATCGCAGTACGGGCACAGGCATTCTGCATCGTCCGAAGCTGCGCGTAGATGTGAGTCGCAGCTGTGGACTTCAGAAAGATGCGCATACATGTAATATCAATGCGATCATCCTGATCAGATTCTTCCCAGATCGGCGCGTTCGGGGTTTCGCTGACCGGCGAGAGCTTAAGCGGCGACATCGACATTGGAAAGGGTGCCGTCTTCTCTCGTGAAGGTGGACCGGATACGGGAGATGATAGTGGAGAGAACCTCGCCAACGGAAAGGCATTGCCTTTCTTCTTCTTCTTCTTCGGTGTACTCGATGGCTCGGGGCTTGAGGAACGAGCGGCGTCAGCTTGCGAGCTGAGAGGAGATAGCGCAGGGAAGTCCGTGGCAGCCTTCTGCTTGCCCTTTCGCGTAGGCTTTGGGCGCGGGGGTGGTTTCTTGACAGTCTCCGTGAGATCAATGGTTGTTGAAGAGCGAGAGGCAAGAGGAGTTGCGGAAGGCGAGGTTCGCCTGTTGGAAGGAAGGACGGCTCTACCCCGCGGAGTGGTATCCTCAAGTCCAGATCCAAACAAGTCGTCATCTGAGTTCGCCTCGGATTCGGATGATAGAATACGGCGTTTGTTCACTTTGCGTGTGGGCTTGGTCGACCGCGAAGGCTTAGTGGTAGATGGACGGGTTTGAGGTGGAGACGACGCTCGCTTTGAGCTGCGAACGGGGTCGGGGGGAGGAGAGTTCAGAGGGAAAGGTGCCGCTTTGGATGCTTCTTTCTCTTTTCCCTTCTTAGCCTTGACCGGCTCTGGAGGAAGAACTTCAAGAGACGCAGATCGAGATCGAGTCAGTGGAGAGGGTTGAGGGAATGAGTCAAGCGGCTTGCGGGTAATGGGACGTGTAGCATCAGAGTTCAGGGTCGAAGACGGCGCTCTGTGCAAAGAAGATGTACTTGAAGTGCGCGAAGTCGACGCAGTCCGAGGCAACCTGCCGTTCTCGTTGTTCTTGAGAGCAGCCAAGTTGACAGGTGCAGACGAGCCGGAAGCAACGGATTGGGTGCGGGATTGCGAAGAAGCGGGAGAGACGTCGGTAGAGTTTGTCGAGCAAGACGTGTCCTTCATCTTCTTGAATTTCGGGTAGCTTCGTTGGGTCGGTGGGAAGTCTGGGTGCGCTGGAAGCATCTTTCCGTTGACATCGACAAACTTCTCCTCCTGTGCACGCTTCTTCGACCCCACCCGTGTAACCCTAGTGCGCTCGTCATCATCCGAGTCTGGGGCTTGGCTTCCGCTCAAGGAGTCGATCTCATCATCGGATTCCGGCTTCGCGGGCGCTGTGCTCTTTGTCGTCCCACCGATGAAGTTGGTGCGAGACGGAACCACGTTGCCATGAAAGATCTTGCGCTGAGATGCGGAAGACTGGGTGCCAGGGCGCGTGGAATATCGCATCGCAAGATCGTCATGCATACCGACGCCTGCGCGCTTCTGCCTCGCTTGTATCGCCTCCATGGATAACCTCTGTCACTGATAAGCCAGGATTAGAAGGTTACTTCTCTTGTATATGAAATCAAAGCGCACGGTGTGACTTCTGTACCTGGTGAAGCATGCGTCGTCTGTATCAGATTTTGACCGTATAGCTTGAGGTAGTCATTCGTACCTAACACCAGAAGACCCAACGACTCTCGACGCTCTCGCGGTCCCAGCACCTCAATCCTCCCCGTGTTACTTCCAGCAGGCGAGGAATGTTGTCAAACACAGCGAATAGATTAGCCGCGGAGTTGTTGATGCGGTTGACAGGAGAAGAAGCGCCCGTGTGTGGCGTAGTCCCAATCAGGCAGGTGCTCTCCCTTTCAGTGAAAGGCCTCAAGTGGAGTGGCGCAGTTGTAGCGCGCTCAGCGCTATAGACGTGTGCGTTCACGCGTTTACGAGTCAGGAGAAGGAAGACCGCTTGACGATGTCGGTGGTTGGGCGAAAGAGAGACGCGTTCGAGCAGCAGCGCGTAAAAGTCACGCGCCCGGAACTCGGTTGATCGGAACTCGGGTGACCGTGACGGACAACGCTTTCGTCAGCGAAGGCGGTTGCCTTTCGGCCATCATCTGCAGATATTTGTCGGGGTCGTGAATCATATCCTCTCTGTCTAGAGAGGACCCCTTCGTACATGCTTGACAATACTATCACGAGCCAAGACGCCGAACAGGGCACATACATCCTCGATCTTCCGCCCGAGCTTTTGCTGCACATACTATCTCTCGTGTCTGCCCGTGATATACTAGCTTTTAGGCACGTCTCAAACACGCATCTGATGTATGCGTGCGCTCAGACATATTGAAGGGAGACTTCCAAACGCGGCGATGCTATCTCTCGTGATCATACACTTTGGCTCGACCTCCTTCGTTGGCAACGCGAATACCTCCCCCTGCCGTCAATCGTCCGGGATGACGCCAACCTGATCACCCTTGACTCCATATCGCTTGAAGGCTTGGTTGTGTCGGCACAGAAGTCCTGTGGCAACTGGTTGAAGAGTCGCCAGCGGCCTTTGTACCTAGGCGGAACCCCAGACGAACCCAGCGACATTCTCTATCTAGACATACTGCTAGATGAGTTCGTCATCTGTGTGCATAGCAACGGGTCCATCCTCGCATGGAAAGTGGACGACATTGCCCACGATGAATCTCCGGCTCTATCTTGGGAGCTCTGGGCCGACGAGCCCTACACATCTGCCTACGCGTGCGTAGATGAAGCTTCGAAGATCGCGTACGTCGCTGTGACTCGCACTCAACATCCGTGCGTGCCGCACCCCGATTGAAGCCTGTAATAAATGTTAAGGTATTTGTCAGGACGCAAACCGGGTATAAGCGGACATCCCTAGTCATCTCAATACATACTCAACATCATCTTCAGATCGACAACCTCGCTCGTGACCTTGCACCTATCACTTGAACCCAGCTCCATAGCTGAGCCCGAAGATGATGAGATCTCCTTCTGTGGTGCTCAGGGTCAAATTGTACGCGCAATCGACGTCCGTAGGCAGCTCATTGCCTTCTCTCGCGTGTCTTTCATAGACGTCATTCACTGGCCGTCAAAGACTGGCATGTCTATCAATACCCATACCGACGATCTGGAGGAACTGGTGAGTGTATGTGGAAAATGCCCAGATCATGTGCACTCTGACCGACGTCTATGATCAGTGGAACGGCATCATCGGCCTCAGCTTCGTGGATGACCGACTGCTGTGTATACGAGCTCGTTCACTGGAGCTTTACCCTCTCGCATTTCCATTCCCAGAACATGCGAGCTACACCGTGCCATCCTCTCTGGAGCCCGAGGAACTACTCGTGGTACCATCAGCCGCTCTTATCCGCCCCGTAGCGGTGTACAACTTCATCCGGACGAACTTTCGCACTCTGTCGCTATCATCCGTTAGCGTGAAAGAGTTCGATCAGCCCGTTTCAACAAGGACGACGACGCTATTCCTGCTCGGGAACGATGTGCTACGCGGAGTATACCAGTACCGCATCGATATCACTGACGTCAATGGACGACCGGATGACACCGATTTGACGACAATACTGCCGAATCTGAACGTGTCGCTACTGTCAATGTACACGCGCCTGGATGGATTCGTAGTAGCGGTTGCTCTTGGACCGCAAGGACGCCGAGGTGCTCTGATAGAGCGCACTAGGAGTTCCACCGCGCGACGCGTTTTGGCGTTCACCTGCCCACTTACAACGACGGCACCGTCAAGTCCTTCGTCAGCGGGCGGCTCCGCTGCCGGAGCGCTTACCGCAGAGTCCGAGGGGAAGAGCGATGATGACGAACAGGATCCTGTGCTTGTTTCAATGCGGGATCTGCGACCACTGGATGTGGTAGATGTGTATAACATCCATTCCCTTGACTTGCGTCGTGAGTGTGCTTTCATCATCATTCCGCCCCTCTCCACGCATTGATGTTCTCTCACAGAAGACATACTGCACCTTGCTTTCTCGGAGGTTACCGGTCGCATCGCGCTAGGGACGCGCTCAGGCGATGTACGCCTGATCTGAACGTATTTATTCGATCCCTTGCTTTGTCATTGCTTTACAAGGCCGCTTGTGGTCTTCGTACACCCCAGCCTACATGTACTGTACATTCACAGTTGTCGATTATCTTCTGCTTTTACGCCACGGTGGCAATGCACTCGATCTCCACGTCTGCGCCGAGAGGAAGCTCCGCGACACCGATGCAAGTGCGAGCGGGGAACTTGCCAGCCTCAAAGAACTACACAAACGCGGTCAACACCTGCAATTGCGAAGGTAAAGATCGCCTTACCTCAGCGTAGACCTCGTTCAAGGGCGCAAAATCGCGCTTGAGGTTGGTCAGGAAGATGTTGACCTTGAGAACATGGTTCAAGCTAGAGCCGGAAGCCTTGAGAACGATCTCGAGGTTCTTGAGGGCCGCACGCTGGTCGATTGATGGTTAGGATTGGGCTACTGATTGATGGTACAAAAGACATACAGTCTGGGCTTGAACGCCGCCCTCGACGAGCTTCATGTCGCGGGTGATGCCTAGCAATACCTTCAGCGATCTGCCTAGTCATACCTTCCCGTATACATACCGATGTTCCCAGAGGCATACACGGTCTTATCGGACACGATGGCCTGCGCTGCATTGATTGATCAGCCCCACACTGTCAAAGCCAAGAGAGATCGTGACACCAACAGTAGATCGGGAGCGGAGGGAGAGCCTCCTCGGAGAAGATAACCTGGCGCGACATGATAGATCTACGATGGCTGGTGGTGGTTCACGAAGAAGGGGCTCTCTCGCTGGTAGAACCCACAGCCGAAGTCCGCTCAAAGATCTAATCACCGAACTGATGGGGTCCACATGTCCCCGGAAGGAGAACTTGCGATCGACTCAGGACATGTCCCCGGACTCATCACGTTGGCAAGTACAGAAATATGTTTATCCTTTACATTAGCGCGACTCGTACAGTTGAACCCAGAGAGACCCAAAGAAATGTAGGTAGTGCGTGTGCTGCGTGTTGCCCATCTCCCTGCCGCCCAAAAATTCCGAACCCCGAGAGAAACATCATTATACAGTTGTTTAGGCGCAGAAGGTGATGGCGAGGTTGACCTGAAGATCGCCGTGAGAATGAGGCACGAGGCGGAATGAGAATACACTCACATCGCTGGCCGTGCACTGGACCTGGACCTGGTAGTCGTCGGTCTTGTGGAACGCAGTGTTGCAGTTTCCGTTCGTGCAGTCGGCACCAGCACCGTCACAGCCGTGGTAGTAGCCGAAGCCTATATGAGAAGCTCAGAATACACTGGTAGTAGGGAGATAACGGATGGTAACATACCGGTAGTAGCCTGGAAAGCGTGCGGGGGAATGAGCGAGAGGTCCGTGCTGGAGATCCCGCCGTTGATGAGTGACGTCTCGACAATGACCTGCATGCGGCCATGATCATCAGCGCCGCGAACAGAGATCTGCACAAGTTATACGTACACAGTTCTCGCCGCTGTCACCGCAGTTGCCAGTGTCGAGGTATGCGATAGCCGCGGTAAACGGACCGTTGTGGGTGTACGCGCCGCCGGTGGAGAGCGTCTGGAAGTTCTGCTTGAGCTTGGGCTGTGAAAGATGTGTCAGTATATAGGCTTGCTATGGAGAATAGAATGCGCGTACGGTTCCCTTGCCACACCTGTTGTCGAAGGTGATGGTGTGGGTCTCGGCGTAAACACCTGAGATAGCCGTCATAGCGGCGAGGAGAAGGGGTGCAACGAAGCTGAGGGAAGGCATGATTGTGGTGAGTAGAAGCTCGTAGAGTGAGGGAAGACTGCTAGAAGATCCTGAGGATGCTCGTATCCTGTCTTCGACCACCAGACTTTATATCCTTCGAGCATGTGGCGACGGTCCAGGACTTGATGTGGTACCATGAGCATGTGTAGACGGGGATGCCGTCCAAACAGGAACAACAGCGTGCTCCGAGCAGAGCGCTGATGCGTACGTTGTATGGCACCCCGCCTTGGCATCGCAGACCTCGGAAAAGTCAGACATGATACGCGAACTCGGAAATGGTAAGCGACATACCATTCAAGAGCGGTACCCGGACTCGGGAATATAGATCTTGGCGAAGAGTTACTACCGGAGTGAGCGCTCAGACATACAGCGTAGGCCTAAGCGACTTTGTAACATGTGCCTTGTATGCTGTCAATAAGGTATGCAAAACTGAGCGGGATGAGATACCGACGCTCGCCCGGTGACCTCGTTCGTCTTGGATCCAGGTTCGCCGTACGAACCATGACAGCAGTCTGCACTGGGTGAATAGAAGCACCACCTGGCGATGCGGAAGAATATGTCCGAATAAAGTGTCCAGCATCAGTGGCTAGGCCAAAGCGCCATGCTGCAAAGCTGTGCATTGACAGAGGTTTGTCCAGGCAAGCAATTCACTCGCAAGTTGTCTGAGCGGCATGGGGCGCGCCGACTTTGACCCCAGAGAGTATACACCGCTCCAGACGGCCACTCCGTCGCATGCGCACTCCCGACGGTTCTCATTGAGCAAGCGAAGAAGTGGGCCAGGCTTGCAAGGTGCCCGTGGTCATTGGCACTGGGCATCAAGCAAGCCGTAAGTTCGCAGATGCGTGACGCGGAGGTGATCGCCTTGACCCCTGCAGCAGCGTGGTTCAGGCTTGATATCCTCGACAGACAGACATTGCAGCACACAGGCATCATGTCCCAAGCGCATTGTTGAATGAACGTTGTGAGGAGTTGACGTATCCGGAGCGGTCATCGTGAGTCCCGTACGTGCACGATCACGACCGGAGGGTGACGCGTGAACACCTTCGACGTCCCGCTCAGAGCATGGATTGAACAGGGATTTGCCTTCTATTGGGTAGCGCTGGTTATCCTTGCAGCTGGGATACCCGAGAATATTTATGTAGATTGTGGGCGGGTTCAAGAGGGCGAACCGCGATCCGGCAGAACGCAGTTCGGTGTTTCGGATCAAAATACCGAGTACACGATCCCGTGACATTCGAGTACATCTTCTGCGCTCGCACGTTCGTGGCGCAGAAGTTCCTTCGCGCCTGTGTACGCAGGCGACCGTGTCAAACCCATCGTCACGTCTTGATGCAAACCCTGAGATGAGGTCGCACTTCGCCGCTATGTGGCATGGGAGAAGGGAGATAGAGCCGCTCAACGGCGATTACAACCGTGAACTATGTAGCTAACGATACAAACGTGACACAACGTCAAAGCCCTACAAAACTAGTGTACAAGTGAGACCCATACAGCCGCAAAACAATGAGAAAAAGAGAGCGTCGTAGATTGTCGTGATCAGCAGCTGGTCTTGGGCGAGAACGGGAACTTGAGTTTCCCGTTAGTGCCGTAGATACCATAGCCGGGTTCTTGATTGTCGCTGTAGATATGTGCGAACCAGCCGACACCACCGCCTGGGGCGTTCTTGAGGTCCGTGCAGTGGCTGTCGAGTAGAGTGTAGTAGTCCTGCTCTTGTTGGAGGTTGGCGACGGCGTCAGGGCTGTTGGGCTCGACGCCAGGGTATGATTCGGACGGCCAGCCGTTCTGCGTAGGATGTCAGCAAGGCAAGGAATTGTGATGAACTCGGTGATACATACCTCGTCAAAGTACATCTTCTTGCCGTTACCGTGGTCGACGAAGAAGTCAAGGTACTTCTGCACGATTGGCCACGCCTTCTTCGCCGTTGATGCATCCTGGTCGAAGAAAGGCAGAACGTGGATGTTGATGCTGTCCAATGCATCGAGGACGACCTGAGCGTTGTTGGTATTCTTCTGGTAGCCGTACGCCATCTCGCTGACGGTGACGTTGATGAGCAGACTGCTGAGGTTGTGCTTCGCGTTCGTGACTTGTGTCGCGAGGGCTTGCGGTGACAGCACGCTGTCGAAAAGCGGCTCCGAGCCGAACTGTACAACGCGCGTGACGAAGGGCGCCAGGGGGTTCGAGTGCAACGTCGCGAACAGCGAATCGCGGCGCGTCTTCCAGATGTCGTCGCCGTCGAACCCGAACCATACTAGCGCGTGGACACCGAGAGTATTCTGCCATGCGGCGTCGATCACGTCGTCGCTGCATAGAGCAATGAGCACTCCATTCCACGATAAGAAGGGAAATAGAAGGTGACGTACTAGAAGCCCTTGGTATCGCAAGCGCCGTATAGCCGAACATACCGCGAGTTGAATGTATTGCGGATGTCCTTGAAGTCCTTCATCAACTGCGTCTTGCTCTGGCCTGGATGAAGTTCGGGCATCACGGATCAGTTCACACAGTCTAATGCCAAACGGGGATAAGGGACGTACAGGCCGTGACCTCGTAACTGAACCCGACGAAAGCGTATTCGTCCTCGGCGGGACACCACCAGTCGCTGGTATCATGTGGGAGGGCGTCCTCGTCAGGGCGCTGGAAGCCAATGGCGGGGTAGCAGGATGTGCGCGCGAGTGCCACGGGATGTGCGCCTTCGGGGCCGACAATGAGTTTGCCGGTAGACTTGGTGCCGTAGGGTTGGGTAATTTGTACAGAGGCTTTGCCAAAGTCCAGGTCGGGAGAGCGAGAGTTAAGGCGGTCGTGTACGGGAGATGCCTGCGGGATATGGAGTGCATGGGCGAGGGGGAGGGAGAGAGCGGCGAGAAGCGCGGAAGTCAACATCTTCGGCGTTATTGGGTTGGTATGTTGTAGAGATGTGCTGGGAGTTTAAGTACGCGTCCTGGTTCGTAGGTTCGTCAGGGTATAGCTCGGAGACAGACGGAGAAGGAAAGAGTGTAGTCCAAAAGAAGGAGGTGGCAGAGGCAGGGAAGCTGGGGCGGACCGGCGCCGTATCCGATGCACGCGTACAAGTTCAAATTCGAACCGTCGAGGTTCGCGAGTAACCAGGTGCTCGAGTGTAACGCATGGTCGACTTTATAGGAGCGCTTCAGCCACTGGAGTTCGTACCTTTCATGGGCGGCCAACCACAAAGTTGCGCGCCTCTATTGTCGCGCATCGGGAACAAATGGCCGTCGAGGGAAGGGACGGTGGGCGGGGAGTTTAATCGACTTTAATCTGGTCAATAACAAGGACTTTTCATTGTTCTGTCATTGGTCTATCGCCAAGGCTGCCAAGTGATTGGATGGACGAGCAACCAACGATCGCCGCTCAAGCGCTCAATCGGGGACGGGCGGCGAGGTAAGGGACCACGCGGCGCGAAAGAATGCAACGCCCGTATGGCGGACGGCGTGAGGTGCGTTCATTTGCGGTATAGAGAACCGCAACTGTTCAGTATTGCGAGAATCATCATGCGTAGACTTGTCAGGCGGCGCTCGGGCAACTTCTTGTGTGGGCAGTGAGCGCTCTCATTCTATCAGATGCTCGGGGAGATGGTGGTTCGAGTGAGAGCGGAGAACTGGCGTCTGCCACTCAGCCTATGTTTTCTCAAAGGAGAGCCGCTCACTTGACATTCGAGAAGCTTCGCACCCGACATGCTGCCGGCGGCAAGAGACCTCACCGATCCGTCAGACTGACGTGGGCGTAACTTGCGTATTTTCACCCAGCGTCCGTGCTCATCAGCCGCAAACCAGTGCTGAACCGGTGCTTGAGAATAGCATCTGTAGCCTGAGATGTACAGTCACAATATTATAGTGGTCAATCAGGACAGTAATGGTCGATGTAGTGAGTAATGGAAGCCAAGGCAGCGCATTGGGAGATAGCGGTGAGGAAGCAAGACAAGAAATGGGTCCAGTCGGCGGCTGTAAGCCTTACTAGTTATCCTCCGCATCAGAGCCCTCGACGGACCTCCAGCGAAGGTTCTTCTCGTAGAAGTCGAGCAACTATAAGCATTCAGTCAGCGATGCCACTCGCCACAGATACATATATGCGGACCTTTGTTGGGAAACGCTTCCTGCAGACTTCCAGCGGTTCGGAGCACGGGTCTTTGAGGCCCTTACTATAATAGGCGATTAATAGGCGATGCTCAGTTTCTGCACGAGATAGAGAGTGAGGCACTAACAGCTTGAAGTACACGTAGAGCTTTTCCTTGTCATGCTCGATCGTCGTGATCTCGATGATAGAATTATCCCAATTCTCGCGGTTCTTCCAGTTGGCAAGCTTGGTGGGGTGAACAACCGTCTCAGTCACTACCGGAGGGGCTGGAGAACTTGTGCGTCGGGCCTTCTTCGTGGGTGGTGCGCTGGCCGTGGTCGCGCCGTTACTCTTGCGTCCACGCTTCTTGGGCTCAGACTCCTCTGTGGGTTCCGACTTGCGGCGTTCGGGCGAGCTTGCCGCTTTGCTCGGACGACCACGTTTCTTCGGCGCTGGAGCGGGTTCAGGCTCGGGTTCGGGTGTCGCCTCAACGTCCTGCATCTCCTCGTCTTCGTTTTCCTCAGGTTCGGGCTTCAGGTGCGCGTGGGGGTTCTTCTTGCCCCTCTTCTGCCAGTATTCCTCGATGAGGTCCCATGCGCCACTAGAGTCATTGCCGTTATTAGTATTTGTGATATAGTCAGGTATTGTATACGCACAGCGCGTCAGAGGGCCGGACCCAGGAGTTATCCTTCTCGTCGTAGCCCTTCCACTTAACCTTGTAGCCGCCTTCGAAAGGCTGTAGAAGAACACATCATGAGTATTGTCACAAATGACAAGCTGGAAAGTACCGTACACGCACGTCCTTGAAAGCGTCGGACTTGTACAAAACAACTGCCTCGATTTCATACTCGCCGTCTTCTTCCCCCTCCTGCTCCTCCTCTTGGTCCTCAACCTCCTCCTCTACAGCCTCCTCGGCCTTGCTTTTGCGTCCAGAGTTGCGTGCCATGATGCGCTGAAGGTCGGCCGACAGACGTATACAGGAACTGGTCGGTGTGGCGGACGCGACGCGATGGTTGTGGGCGAGACGCGACAACGCGACGCGCTTAACACGCTAGGTCTCGGCATTCGCCGCGGATGCCATCATTGATTCAACAAAGTCACGCCCTGTGGTGTACCACAAGGCAGGCCTTTGTGGACCGCACATGATCACGCAGGTATATGGTAGCGAGTACTGTTCATGAAGCTCATGGAGCCAACAAGGCCAAGGTCGAGGCGTGAAAGAGAAAGCGAAAGCGACCTATGTGGATATCGTTGAATAACGCATGCTCGTGGCGACATATGCTTCAGACTAAATATATAAAGGGAGCACTCGGACTTCGTCAGTACATTCGCTGGAGCGAGTGACTGATGATGTAGTTGTCATCTTGCTACCGGCTAGTTGTTTCCCTGCGTCGACTGCCCGGTGAGCACACATCAAGATGATCAAGGCGACAGACCCTAGGGTTCACTTACGCATACCGCGCAGCACGGGAAGATGGCGATTCATCCATAACTTTCGGTCGTGTGCAACCATTCGAGAAGATCAAGCCGAAACCCTGGGGTCCGCTGTCAGGGTCCTAGACGCAGGATAAGCAGATAAATCGACGTGTGGCGAATAGTAAGGGCTTGGTGTCTGGAAAACGGTAGTCCCCTTCGTATACGGAGCGCAAGCGCACCATTATTACGGCGAAGGTATCAGTGTGTAACCTGAGGCTCACGGTGGGGTGATACTGAAATGAGATCTTACTCGCATGAACAAAGTCGACCCTGTACTTTCCAGAGCTTGCCCGGCGTTACCAGTTCCGCAGGTATTCCTTACCTTACTGTGGCGAAAAGAAGTTACACCCCAGCTCAGGGTTGCCAGCCTCAAAGAAGACAAACGTGATCATACACCACATCGCCTGACAGGCGAGTGTTCTGTGCTACTCGTCCGGGCCGTCGTCTTGGCGCATAGTGAACCAATCGAGACGGCCCTTACAGTCACTCCAAGGTCCATTGGCGTCAATACCGCGCGATAAAGATGATTTTGTCGCTTCTGAGACGTACAACAGATAACATCAAAGATGAAAGCAGTAAGATTGCATTTGAGTACAACGGAGGGAACGGGCGAGAGTGTGTGTAATCAATCGCGGCGCCGAGGGCTGGCACTGCGTCCGCGCCCACCACGACCGCGTTGGTCGCGCTTGGGCTGGTGCTGTGGCGGGCGCACGAACGCGTAATCGCATTGCAGTGTCTGCTCGAGCAGTTCTGAGCCGGACGCGCCGTCGATCGCAGCCTGAGCCTCGGCCATCGTTTCGTACTCGACCAGAGCGTAACCCTGTCAGGGTCGTCAGTCCGTGTTGGAGGGCGGAGCTTTCGTATCGAACGGAGACAAGGAAGAAGCAGAAGACGGGGTTATGTGGGTGTGACAAATGATGCGATGGATAAGGATTGTGGCGGTAGACGGATTGGGAAGAGTACAGAAATGTGTATTCACCTTGACATATCCAGTCCTGCGGTCGAGGTTAAGGTGCAGGTTCTTGATCTCGCCATACTCGGCAAACTTGTCCGATACGTCCTCCTCCGTCGCCTCCTCGTGAACGTTGGTCACGAGCACTATCCATCCCTCGACGGCTGTGGACGCGAGTGTACTTGTCAGCTACTGCCGTAGGGTCCTGGAGAGCGAGATGATGTACGCACATCGAGCTGCGCGCGTGTCATTCGTCGTCTCGACGCGGTCAAAGGCCTGTTCGGAGCCGACACCAGCGTCGTTCCCGCCTGAACGCGTTATTAGGTTATGCACAGTGGGACGAGCGCCTAAGGAGCTTACCTCGCGAATTTTGGAAGCCGCGTCCACGCTTACGAACGGGGCCACCCGCGTTCGCGACTGTGGCGCGTACAGGTTATAATTGAAATATGATACTATTGGTGGAAAGAGGGACGGACCGTCGTCAATGTTCATCTCCTCATCAGACATGGTGGTCGTGTCGAACTCCAAGTTGAGGCGTGCGTGACCGCGCAGCGCACCTCGTTTCGTGCTTCTGTGCAACGTTGCTCTTGCATCAATCTGTGGAGACGTCCCTGCTTTAGGAGTTTGCGTTTCTGCAATGCAGGGTCGCTCACCCGGTGTGATTTCTTCTGGCCGGTATCCCATCTTCTCCCCCGAGCAGGGCTGGTGCGCGTGTAGATTGCGCGGCTTACGAGAAAGTACAAAAGGCGGTATCCCGAGGAAATTGGAGGGTCCCTTACCCCTTTGCGCTCGCCACTCGGTCTGCTTCTGAGCATCGCACCCCTCAACTCTGTCGCAACGCCGCCTTCTACTGACCCAGCCTCTCTCCGAGCTCGCTGTCGCCCGCCATGACGACCCCGAACGCGCAGTCGCACTTGATCAACTATCCGTGCAGCGTTTGCTGCCAGGCAACTTCCCTCTGGTGCTCCCGCTGCCAGGCTTCGTGGTACTGCTCTGCGGAGCACATGTCCCAGGTCATTATGGCTGCTGTATAGGTCGTGCGAGCTCCGCCCTCCTAACATGCATGCCTCGTACAGGACTGGCCCAGACATCGACGCGAGTGCATCCCTATTAACGCGCCGGGCGGCAATGCGGTCATCCCGACACCGCCGCTCGCTCAGCCTCAGATCACCACTGTGTCCGCGATCTACTTCCACCCAGACGAAGGTATACTGTTGCTACACTCAAATAAACGCTCGAGCTCATCTCTGTTCTTCTGCTTCCAGACCGGCCGCGTATCATTCCGCTTCACTGTCAGCCACCCGCCACACCCACGCAGGGCGTCTGTCCGACTCCGCTCGTGGCAGAGTACTTCCCAGGAAACCACGTACAGAACGTCGTGTTGACGCAAGGTCTCAACGGCGAGCCACTCCGCTTCCCGTTGCATCTATGGTATTCTCCCGGCGCGCTGCAAGCCGGTGTCGCGATCAACCGTGCGATCTATCGCATCACATCTGGCGCGGCAGCAAGACCATGGTGCGGGCCTGTCATTGTACTCAAGTACAGTGGCTCGCGTCGGCAGGGGTACGCGGACGCAGGCAGTAACGACCTTCCGGCGCTCAGCGCGTACTTCCTCGCATACAAGTGATTCATTAGATGTGAAAACGGCGTCAGGTGCGCGCGCATCTCATATAGAAGATCACAACGACCCGACTGACCGCCTTCCCCAGAGCCCTTGCTGCCGCTGCACGACGCGTCGTATACCCACCCTCACTCAACCCTGACGCGCCTGACGCTTTTGATTATCTCTCATCTCGTTTCCCCCTATCTCGGCACACACTTCTGCAGGGAACAGAAGACATCATCGGACAGGTTCCAACCAACTCATACAACTCTCCACCCTCAATATTGTACTATTACCACGTTCTCCCTGTTTGGCATAGGCTTTGCGCACGGACTGTACTACACTGTATCGCCCGCTTGCTCTGAACCGTAACATGGCTGGTCGCTGCCTATAGCAGTTACCCTGCTTCCCCGCACCCCTGCCCGACTTTGATTCCAACCCCGCTTCTTCTGAGTTTCGACTGGGCTTTGCTCACGAACTCTCGAGCTATCGCCGACGCAGGCGCTCAGCTGAACACCACGCAACGTAGCGTCGTTTGTTGACGAGCGTGTATGATAGGGTAATGCCAAAGCAGATCGTCGGCGGGAGTACACGCACTCGCGACCCTGACAACACCCTGACCGGCATAATCCGCGCGCGGCGGCCTCTCCTCCGCACGCACGATCCTCACCCTACAACCGTCAGCGGTGTTGCGGAGTGGTGCCATGGTGCACGGAAGCAAACCCTGCACGAGAAAAAGAGAGAAAAATTCGACCCCGTACATGTCGTGCCACGCGCCCTGTAACGAGTGGCGCGCGTGCACGTGTACTGCATTCGCGGCCATAGCCGCAGTCCCGGCGACGTCAACATCGCTCCGACGGTGTGGCGACGCTTTGTTCTCCGCCTCTGACCCGCTTGCAATAGAAAGGCCGCCGACGCGCGCTTTCTTGCCTGGCCTGCTCTGCGTTTGCAGCTACAGCTCTACGGTCGTACCCCGTTATCTCTTACATCTGTACTTGCTGTAGGAGTTCTGGTTCCTACTGATCTGCGCCCGCACCACACGTTGACACAGGGTCGACGCCTGCACCCTGACATTCCCTGCACGCCGATCGCTCCCGCTATCCACCCGACTCTTCCGACGTCCGTCTTCTGTGATCGTGACCTCAAAGGCCTCCTGCCGCTCTCCGAACTTGTCATTGACGCAACACGAACCTGACCCTGCGAAGTTTTCATCTACCGTTCCTTTGACATTACTCAATGGCCATCGTATCATTCGCGAGCTTTCCGGTACCTCCGCCTGCAAGAGAGACGCCCGAGGATGATGGTGAAGATGCGTACATGGACCTTGATGATCCTACCTCTTCGGGCGCGAAACTGGCGGCGCCCGGTGAGGCAATTACCAGCGCTCAGGCCTTTATGCGGTTTGTTATCTTCTGCTGTTGGTTGCACATAAACTTGCAGTTACTTACCGTCCGAAACAGAGGGCACGGGACGTATATCGACAAAGAAGAGGTAGTAGCAACCGTTGCTGGCACTGTAGAGCGCGTTAACAAGCTCGTCACCGTCCGGCCGTTGCGAACAAGGTTGGTTTTTCTGACTTGTGGGTCCTTATAGGCACTCATGTATGCCTGTTGCAGATACAGCCCTGAAGTCGGCGACTTGGTTGTTGGGCGTATCACGGAGGTAGGTTTATCACAATGCTGTTTTCCATCTCCTGTATTCTCAAGCTGGGTTGAGTAGGTGCAACCGAAGCGTTGGAAAGTCGACGCGAATGGACGGCAAGATGCCGTTCTCATGCTTTCGAGTGTGAACTTGCCCGGTGGCGTACAACGGAGAAAGCTTGAAAGTGATGAGCTGCAAATGCGTACCTTCTTCGAGGAGGGTGACCTGCTCGTTGCCGAAGTGCAGGCCTTCTTCCAAGACGGAGCAATGAGTTTGCACACGCGTTCCCTCAAGTATGGCAAGGTTCGCATCTTTCATCGACCCTTGCTTCTGCCGCAGATGCCGATGAGATACAGTTGAGGAACGGAATGCTCGTGACGGTGCCGCCCATCTTGGTCCGGCGTCTCAAGAGCCACTTTGTGGCCCTGCCCAGCGGCGTGGACCTCGTTCTCGGCTTGAACGGTTACATCTGGATCTCGAAGCATGTGAAGGAATTCGAACAGGAAGGAGAGGAGGGCTTCGACGCGGAGGCCGTGTACTCAAACAAGAACGATGTTCGTTCCCTTTCTTCTCTCAGGCTCGCTGCAGACACGCTCAATACGCCCTGCTGTAGGATATTGACGATGCGACAAGGACGGCAATTGCACGGGTCGCAAACATCATACGCGTATTGTCGGCACATTCTTTGCCTTTGACAGATACGGTCGTCCTTGATGCATACGAATGGGCAGTCGAGCAAAACGTCGAGGTGAAGGACATTCTGCGAGACGATATGTCCGAGGCCCTCGTCACTGCCATTCCGTACCGATGAATGGTGTTTTTCCTGTATCCCTTCCAATGTTGTAATTTCTAGCACACATGTATCATGGATTCAAAACGGCGACCATGCACCAAGCATACTTGAGCTACAACTCATTATCGTCGTCAGCCCCAAAGAAACCCTCGTCTCCAGCATCGTCTGTCCATATACCTTCGCCGTGCACATAGTCTTCGTCTTCTTCCTCCTCCTCTTCAAGTTCCTCGTCTTCGGATTGCCCTTGCATCATATGTCCCATATCGGGTTCTGATGTGTCATCCTCGCCTTCATCCGCCGTAGCCTCACCATTGTCCCCAGTTTGCATCGTCTCATCCGGGTTCGGCAGGGCGCCTGTAGCGCTGGGTGGTGCCTGCTGCCCAGTCTGCGCCACCCCGCTTGCCATGCGACGTGCTTGAGCAGCACGCTCAGCTTCTTCGCGCTCGTGATCTGTCGGTAGTAGTGTTTCGAGGGCGAGATCCGACCAGCGGAGGGTTCCATTCACTCCACCGCCGCCGTACCCCATATCTTCAAAGAGCGCTCGCGAAGTCGGATCATACGGAACGCGTGGGCGTGCAGCGGGATGCTTGGTGGAAGTAGGGTTTCCGTAGGGATATGAGGGGTGCACTTGAGATGGTAGTACTGGGGAGTATCTCGGTTAGATAACGCCGACTGATAAGAGTATGAACCACACACTTTCGGAATCATCAGGATTCGGAGGGATCATATGCGCAGGAATATCCATCTCTACGATTGATGAGCATTGAGTCATATCTATACCTCAGACAGACTGTACCATCATCAGAAAGGTCTCCTCGCAGCTGCTCTGCCGTGCCAAGCGTGTCGATGATTTTAAGGTCATTCGATGTCATATGCAAGTAGCAGAATGTTAGATCCTGTCAAGGCGTTCCATGAACGCGCGCTTGGGAGGTACAAGCAATATTGCGGACAGTCATCTCAAGATTTCTGGCCCTCAGAAACAGGATACGGTGCGAAAGAAGGGTTCAGGATACCCTAAGGTGATGGTGGAGGACAAGAATGGGTGGCGCGGGCGGCGCGACGTGCCGCGACGCGTCGAACTGAACGCGTTTGAACGCGACCTCGTGATTTGCATTCTTGCCTCTGACCGCCATCTCCTTCCGCGCGTCGAGCGTGTTTCGGGCGTCCGAAAACTCTACTCGAGGGACCCGATATCGAGCGTACACTGTGAAACCTACCAGAAGACGCTAGCACCAGCTTGAGCGAGGAACTGGACCCGAAGTACCTCCAATCAGTACGCGCAAAACCGTAGAATGTCTTTGGTCTCCGTACATAGCTCCCTCGGTCTACTTGGCGTCTTTCCTCCACATCCATCACCGACTTGTCTCGAATGGACCTCCGAAGGCCAGCTCGTGCTCTTGGGCAAGAACGCGATCTATATCCTTGTACGTCGTTCCATGTTAGAACAGAGCTCTGCACTCACCTGTCACGGGCTCGCATCAGACGCCCGACTTGGGCCTCCAGCTCAACACATCTTCCGCGGTCAAAGCAATACCGAGCAAATTGAACACGATCTCAAAGCCACTGCCTTGGTTGAAAACGGTTCTAGAGCAAGATAAGCGCAATTTGTACTACCACTGGCCCTCGGACACACAGGGTACACTCGTCTCTATGAGCATGAAATCAGGATATGATGCTGATTATACGACAGAATGGGGTGCGGCTTCTTTTGGATCCTTAGACCTTTCACTTCGCGCCTTGACTGCGTCACCTAGTCTACTGGCCTCCGTCAAACCGTAAGCGTATCGTGATGCGGAAGGAAGCCAAGCTCATTCATCACTTCCAGCTATGTCATCGCCGTCATCACCTCCAACATGCAGCTCAGTCTCTGGGTGCCTCTGAAGGATCATCTTCGAGGGCAATGGACACTGGTCAGTTCGATGGTTACTGGCGACCTTATCCGTCTGAGCCGCGCTATCAAGTAGCTCAAGGAGTGCACGCTGATTCTGCGGGATCTCGCCCCCAAAACAGCCGAAACGAGGGTTCACCGGGCGCTTCACGCCCAGATCGCATGTACGTTCTTCAGTCACGCTTCACATGCAGAACTGAATGTTAGATAGGTTGTGCGTGGTCGACTCAGCCGCTCTTCTGCGACCCGGCGCCCGTATGCGACGCTTCTCTCCTCGCGCTAGGCACTCGAGCCGGCACTGTCATGTTTATGAGGTGTGACGCGTCTGCGTATGCTGCCTAGAGTTGGACTTATATCACGCAGATTGCAAGTCTCCGAGGGGACACCAGTGTCTCTTGAACATGTCGCAACAGTACAACTATCGGAACACTGGGTCACGTATATCGCTTGGACTGGTTGGTCCCAAGGTGGGCCCCAGCTAGGTGCGATGCGATTGTCCTCCCAGACTTTCATCTCTGCTGACCGCGTATCAGCGCGTGCCACGCTCGCATATGGAACGGCAGACGGTTCGATTATACTTCTCGAACTTAGCCAAACACTGCGTATGGAGGCAGCCACGCAACTGGGCGCTAACTGCCGGCTCGAGGTTCAGACGCAGGTTTTGGGTCCGATCTATGCAGCAGACAAGAAGACCACAACTGGCTTGCAGTGGGTAACTCTCCCTGCACGTGGGGTACGTCAAGGCTTGACGCATTGTTCCCAATGCTGACATTAATGACAGGTAGTTCTGGTCTTCTTCAAACCCGGACTCGTACACATCTGGGCCCCTCCCCACTCTGAAGAGCTTTGGTCCGGCTCCCGCGTCTTTCGCCTGCAAACCCAGAAGACGTCCGCTTCGTCCTCATTCTTACATCCGGTGTCTGGTATCAGCTATGTCGCGAAGTACGACATGCTCGTATTCTCTCTACAAGATGGATCATTCCACGCCGTCTACCAAATGACCACAGACCCAACGCTCACACCTCCTGAACCAACGCTCCCGACTTCGTCCGCAATGTCCACCCTGTCAAGAACCATCTTCTCGCGCTGCGAGGAGAAGCCCGTCAAAAAGACTGACTTGAACGTCACCGATGGCATGACTGCGCTCAACGACTCAAACACCTTTATCTGGACATGCGAATCTCTATGCCCCACCGACTTCAGCTACAAAGCCGATGCTCAGCGCACCACCAACATCATCACTGCTGACTTATGGAGCGAGAACGACCCCGAGCTTCTCATGCACCAGATTCAACAGGTGCTCGCCTTACCTCCGTCCAGTAAGAAGCCGCTTGTCCAAGCCAGTGCCGTGGAGACTGACCCTCCATAGCTGCGGGCAGGGCACCACTAGACCTTCTGCGTCCCATCATCTTCGGTCTACAGAACGACGAACATCTCACTGCGCTCTTCTCACGACTGCTCGAACTCCTCAACGCGCCAATACCGATACTCTTACCCGAGACTTACCCAGAGTCTCGCGAGGTCACGACAGAGCTCAGAGGAGAAGTGCGCGACAATATAGGGAAGCATCTACTTGGTTCACAACGGATGACAGCAATACGTTTACGACTGTCTCTGGCCGACTACCTTTGGGTATGGCGTCTTTGATGCATTCTACACCTATTGTACTGATCGCGGGGCTCTCCCAGAGACGTGCTTCCGACGACGACGTGCGGAACCAGTGCTCAGATGTAGCCTCGGTGCTCTTGCGCTCTGTCTCGCACGGCATCCAGCAAGTTCTAGTCGACCATCTTTCCGCCGTCTTGGGCATTACCACCAGTGAGCTTGTGCGATCTTGACTTTACAAGTACTCATTCCTGTCACAGAGGAAGACCTACCCTTCGTCTATCGCATCGTCATCCAATGCTTTCTACCAGGAGCACCGCCCTCCTTGCACGAATCCGCGCAGGTCCTGGCCAATCGGGCTACCGCACGCGGGCAGGAGTTCTCATCGGGGGAAGGCACCAACGATCTTGAGGAAAGTTGCCCGGCTTGTGGGCTGGCGGTGCCGTATAACGACGTCTCAAGCGCAACGTGTCCCAATGGACACAGGTGGAGTACGCTTCCTGTCACTCGTCTATCTCCCTCACTCATGAAGCACGATCACAGTGCGATGCTCCATTACGTCTTTCATCCTCTCCACGCCCATGGTGCGAACGTGTATCGGATGCACACGCAAGGCGTTCCTGCCGCCGATCCGCAAGCGGACGAGGAAGACCGGAGACAATGAGCAGATGGAAGTAGACGAGGCGCCTGGCGGTGCTGAACCTGACGTCTCGCATCTGCCGCCCGCAGCTCGGTCGTGGATCGTACAAGAGCTGTTGCAGGCGGCTACTAGGTGTCTATTCTGTGGCAATAGCTTCGTCAGTTTGCTGTGACATCGAGTATGGTGTTTTCCTCTTCCTTTCTTTTGTTTGTACATCGTTCGAGACATGAGAGTTTTGAAATGCAGTGAATAGCATGACTACGGCATACGACACAAGCAGAGCGACACGACGCGAGACAGACGAACGAACGACAAACATATGAGTGAGCAGCAAGCGGAGCCGATCCACAGCCTGGTCGCAGATTTACATGACTGATAGCGTATAAAGATCAACTGTAAGATCCCTGTCAGCGTCTATCAGAGGTCAGATATAGAAAAGTCACATACCAGTCTCGAGACATATCCAACGATTATGTAGACAATGTTCACAGCTCCTCATGTACCGGCGCTGCGGCCTCCTCGGTAGCAGCCTCAGCAACAACAGCCTCCTCCGCCTCCGCTGCCCTCGCGAATGCCTGCTCAACCTCCTCCTTTCCGCGCCCAACAACGGGCACATCCGGTGCGACGATCGCCTCGGGGTGCGGCTCGTCCGTCGGGATCGGCAGAATGCTGACCATCTCCGGCTCCTGCAACAACTTCTCCTCGTCATTGCTTAGGTTCAGCTCTTCGCTCGCGGCCTCCTTGACCTCCTCTTCATCTTTGTCCTCCTTGAACGCCCTCGCGCCGCTCCTCCTCAATTGCCTCAACCGCGTCTCGAAGCCAGTAACGATGTCCTTGACTTCGGCCTCCAGGTCAATGAGCGCAGTCTCCACGGGGTTCACGGGTGGGTTATCGTGAGAGCCGTTCTGGACCGAGAGGGAATCCTCGAGGAAGCGCTCGTAGCGGCGGATGAGGTCATGGTACCGCTGCCAGTCGTTGTATGTCACGTCCTCGAGCCATACGTAGTCGAGCCCGACATCGGCCTGAGCCGACTCGGCCATATCCTTGATCTCGTCTGCGTGTTCGCGAACCTACGTGTGATCGCGTCAAGATGGTAGTTCAGTGAGAGACGGTAGACATCCGTACCTCGCGCTCCTCACGAGCATTGTACGCGTCCCACCATCCATTGACGGCCCCCTCCGTCTCCGCCAACCTCTGGTTGAACTTATCATCAATCTTATTCAACACCTTGCTCCACGCGACATCCTTCTCCTCGCCCTTCTTCCCCTCCTCCTTCTTCAAGTTCTTCAAGAACGCCTCGGCGCCAGCCAAGAACTTCTCAGCCTCCGCGACGAGCCCGTCAACGGCGCCCTTGATCCCGTCGTCGCTCTTGAACTCTACAACGGCGGTTTTGCGCGCTGCGACGAGGCCCTTGCGGACGGCCTCTTGCTTCACCACAAGGAGCGCATCGAGTTTCTCTTCCCAGACGGTGTGGCGGGCTTGGATGGCAGCGCGCTTCGCGGCGATGTGTGCTTTGCGCTGGGCCTCGTGCTCCGCGATCTGCTCAGGGGTGAGCGTCTCTTCTGGGGGGGCCTGAGCTTCCTCGACGGCGGATGCCGCTGCCTCATCTTCCTCGATGCCGAGCTCGGCGTAGAACGCGTCGAGATCGAGGTCTTCAGCGGGCTTGGTGATGCGGGTAGCTTGGGCTGCGATGGACGATGCGGACTCGGATGCGGCAGCAGCCGCGGCCAGGACTGACTCAGTCAAAGCTGCTGCCGATGCTGTAGCGATGGACGCCGCGGAGGTGGCGCTTTCGGATGCGATGGTGGCCAGAGGCGCTGCAGCGGATGACGCTGACTTGGTCGCAGAAGCGACCTTCTGGATGACGGGCTCGGCGACTTCCTCGACCTTCTCAACGACAGGCTTCGCAGCCTCGACGACGGGTTCGACGATGTCTTCTACTACCTCGACAACGGGGGCGACAACTTCGACAACCTCAGGCGTAGGCGTAGGTGTGGACTTGACGGCAGATGCAAGGCTGGTGGCCGACTCGGTCGCAGCTGCAGCGGTCTCTGCGACGACAGATGACAGCGTTGAAGCCGCCTCCGTCGCAGCCTGAACAGCGCTAGAAAGGATCGGCTGCCCAATCTCCTCAACCTCGATGATGGCGGGCGCAGGTGACGACGACGTGATGATGCTCGATGATGAGGGCGTGGCATCGACGACAGGCTTGACCTCCGGAACCGGTTCAGCCACAATCTCCTCCGCCTCCTTCATGATCGCCGGCGAGGCCTCGGCAGGTGGCGCAGGCTTCGCGACCGAATCCGTGGTGGAACCAGCCGGGACAGGCGCTCCCTGGGAAAGCTCGACGACCTTATTCCAAATCTGGACGACGTGCGGGTCGACGTAGCGCCGCCTCTGTACCCTCAACAGAGCAAGAATGTCCAAGCATAGCTGCTTGAACTTGATCCATGCAGGGCCTGCATATGGGCGTGCAGCGAGGTAGCCTTCGTAGCTCTTCTGCGCTGCGAGGTGCGCGTAGGGTGTTGCTGCGACCTGAGCTTTGTGTAACGCCGCACCGGCTTGACGTGCGTAAGGGTCGACGTGGGAAATGTAGATCTTCTGCGCCTGATCATACTTCTCCGAGGCGATCGAGTAGTACGGTGCGACGGCTGATTGAGCCTTGGTGAAATGTGGTGCTACATGTTGCTCGTATTGCGGGATGACGTGGGCGTTCCATTGGGGGACTACGTGTGCGTCCCAAGCGGGAACGACTCGGTCGTTCCAGACGGGTACAACGTGTGCGTTGAAAGCGGGAACCACTTGCGTGTGGAAGGCATTGTCGGCTCGTTGCGCTAGTACTAAGGCCTTGTCGGCGTAGGGCTTTGCCTGTTCGACATATGGCGCCACAGAAGGGTTCTCTATTACCCTATGGAAGGCCGGGATAACGTAGGCTTCGAGTACGAGCCTGCGGTACGCGTCTAGACCACGGCAGAGCGGCCTCTCTAGCTTCTCATCCTTGGGACAGACAGAGAGGGAGTATATTGTGAAGAACAGGAGTAGCCATTTCGTGAGGACGTCCAACAAGGACTTTGATTTCTTCTTCTACCTTATGTCAGTTTTGCGCGCATACGTGATGGCCGATGTTACTCGCCTTCCCCTTCCCCTTCTTCGCTTTAGGCTTTTCTCTCCTGAACTTCTTCGGTGCGGTGTCGTCCTGCATAAAGGGGTTAGCGCCCAGTTCGTACCAGTCGCGGGGTATCGACTCCATGGAGATCGACCGGGCCGGGAGATGAATGTAGTACTATATGGCAACACATATGCAATGCGATCTCGTGGCAAGCAAGCCGAACAGGCGCGCACCATTCGACGAGTACGCGTCGCGGTAGTGACTCTGTCCGACGTATGCCGTCTGCTCATCATCGTGCGCGTCGACATCTCCGATAGATTGCTCGACTGGGGAAATGATCGCGTGCAGGGCTTTATATGTAAGGAGATGGAAGGGAACGAGGCAAGCACGCTGCCCGGTTTGTTACGCGGAATATTCGACGCGTTCCTGCTCGTCGCCGCCACAAGGCCTTCGACATCAGAAATTATTATAAACTTTACTCACAACGTCCCCGTTTGTGGCCTCGGACTCCTTCAGCTTGCTCGCGTTCTGCGCTCGGGCAGACGCCGTGCGCGGGACGGCCTGTGTCGAAGGCTGCCGCGAAGGTGGCGCGGCCGGTGTTCGTCGCGTGACGACCATAGTCGGTGGTGGTGGTTGCAGAGAGGTTCGTAAAGCGGCACTGCCGCGGTCGTTGCGGGTGACGTGGAAGTCCGGAAGTGGTGGTTGGGGTTCAACAAGCGAGCAAGTGCTCTCGTTCGTTCGCAGAAGCCAGAGGTTGCTATCAACGTGGAACGAGCGTCATGATGAGGCGCTCATAACCTTAACCCCCTGACTACCAACAAAGGCTTAGTCAAACCTTGGCTTGTTCTGCGCGCTCATGAAGCTCCCTGTAGCCATTGCTGCATCCTACTGTCGAATAATACACAGTCTGCTAGCAACTCGCTATACGTGTTACATCCGCTGAAGTGGCGCGCCGTGCCAGCGAGGCTCGTTGCCTTGCAACGCTTCCCATACACTCGCCGAAGTCCCCACACACCACACAGACTCTTGTTTTGAAGACAGTCGAAGAATCAACAACCCTAAGAAGATACATTGCTCGTGACAATCGTGATATGAGACATTGTTCCAAAGCCAGTTATACCCAGTATATATTCCTATCCGCGTGTGTTTCGCTTCACTCGTCGTCCAACATCATCACCCTTCTATCCAACAATGCTCTGCAACTTGCCAAAGTCCAGCGTGCCTAGACCCGTCACGGGCTGAACATAGCAATCAGCCAATGCTCCTCTTGAACAATAAGTTCGGGAACTCACGTCCCAGCCGGCACGAGCTGTGAATCCTGCGGTACCACATCCAGGATTCGAGCCACTCGTGATATCATTGAGGCCAGCTACGCCGGTAGAGTACAGAAGTGGGTTCAAGAAGCCGAGCGTAGGCTTGTTCTGCGATAGCAGGAAGTCATTGAGGAGCGATACGATGCCAGCAACGGTCTGTATCCATTCCTCAGCGCACAGCGTCAAACGGACGCAGAAGCTGTCAATCATACCGGGGAGGCGCAGCTCGTGCCCGCAACGTTCACGACCTGGCCACCGAGAACGACTTGGAAGTTCTCTGCCTGGGCGGCTACGTCGGGGAAGCCACGTCCCGTTGCGTTGAATAGGCCGGCGAAGGTGTTCCCATTTGCGGCGAGGAACGCGGAGACTGCCGCGCTTTGGTAGCTAGGCTGAGCGAAGAAGTTGGAAAAGCCGCCACTCGAGAGACCCGCGGCCACTTCGGGGTTAACCCTGGTGGTTCCTCCGACCGAAGTGACGAACTGAATCCAGGATTAGAGTACTGCCCGAATAGGATCAAGGCTATAGCTTACTGGGCAGGTCGCCGGGAAGATGGGCTGGAACCTGACCGTGTTCGTGCCATCGTTGGTCCTGCAGTCGGCTGAGGTGTGGGCATTCTGTCAGCTTAGGAGAGGAGTACGAGGCTGAAGAACGTACATCCACCGACACCAAAGTCGCCGCTGGAGAACATGACACTGGTGCCCATGGTCCCGAGCGTCGCGAACATGTTGCAAACCTCAGTCGCGAAGTCAAACGGAACGGTTTGCCTGGAGATCAAGGCATGAGCACCTTATCGAGTGACACAGGGGCATACGCACTCGTCGTCACCGTAACTTGTCGTCAATGTCTGAGGGAGCGGGTTCTGAGTGATGAAAGCCTGAAGGAAGTCGACTGGAGTGTCGGATGAGGGATGGAAGCATACGTCAAGATACAGAGAAGATTACTCACGATACGGCTCGTTCGAGTTCGTAGGTGTATTGTCGTCCGGAATGAACGGGGGCGAACCTCCAGTAGAGTAATAGATCTGAGGCGTGGGGAATGACATGGCAGTGGTGTATTGAATATCGAGGTCGGCCTCGACACCCGGCTCGTTCTGATTGTTCTGTCCTCCATTGATTTCCACGAGCTTGAAGGTCGCATTCGATGCACCAGTCAGGAAGCGGTTGGCAAAGGACGTAAGATCAGCCTGGATGGCAAATTCATCAAGATATCTACATCATGGTTACTATCAGAGGTTGTACAAGAGCTAAGTTTGGCACTACGCTTACCCTGCGACACCAAGAATGTTCCTATCCGTAGCGAGGGGTGTGTACCCGGTGGTGTTGTACAACGCTTTCAGACAAGCCGGAGTGATCGCACGCGCGCAAGTCGCTGGAACGGTAGCGTCAGAAGTAGGTACCGCGTTGCGAACATCGTCGTCATTGTCAAGTACGACCGCGTTCGGCGAAATGTGCGAAGTAGCGCGGAAAGGTTCGGGGTTGCCGAAGAACGTCGTAGGCGCAACGACGCGAACATGTTCATGAAGACGTGATGGGAGTGAGTAGGATAGGGTGCGCAGGATCGTAGCGTTCGTCTCTTGGTGCGTGTACAGTTCATAAGATGCATCGAGAAGTGTGTTGGCGGTGGAAACCGGCACGGCCTCGAGCAAGAGCCAGTCGCCAGTGAAGACGGGCCGAACCGTGTCCTCGCTGATGCCATGTGCCGACAACCATTCACCGACGATTGAGTGTGTATCGCGATGAGGTGCGACTAGCTTGGAGGCTTCATCGAAGGAAAGATGGGCGCCGTAGCTGGAGAGAGAGGCTCTTGAGTGATCACGCAACATGAAGTGCATGTATATACGTACCGCTCATGACTGGGGTCGCTAACTGCAGTCAGCGTCGAGACGAGAGCATCGGGGTCCGCAGACTTGAGCTTGATGCGGAGGTCAATAGTAGCACCAGCCGGTGCTGCACCAACGGAGGCCCACTTGGCAGGTGCACCTTCTGTCCAGGCATGCTTGACCTCCATATCACCCCATCTCCGTGACAGGCGTGATGGAGACGCTGCTGCAATGGTTGCAACTGTCAAGAGAAGAGAGAAACGGAGCATCGTCGCGACAAGAGAACGAGGCTTTGCCGAATCACCATACACTTCGTCCTCACCGCTTATATACCGGAAGGCCAAGCACGGGTGCTGTGAAGACCTATTGTAATCCCGAAATACCTTGTTGGGAAGTAAGTTGCTGGAACTGGTACACACGCGCTCTCTGGCATGACGGATTGACACATGTGGGAGGCCTCGTGGATTTAAAGAGGGGAAGGAAGAGTAGGAAGTCGGGCATTCACACTGAATGCGTTGGCCGAAAGGGAGTGTCAGATAACAAAAGAAATGTCCATGTGCGCTACGGGCGGCTCTAGCCCACGATCTCCTGCAGCAGGCCAAAGTTAGGCGTGCCCAAGCCAGTAACAGCTACGATCAGAGTAATCAGCTTGAGTACGCATGTCAGAGACGACAAACTTACGATCCCATCCGGTCGCAGTTGAGAACCCATCGGTTGAGCATCCTGGGTTCGAGCCACTCGCTAAGATTGGAAAATCAGTATTGAATCCTCCGGGCTAAGCTTGGATGAAACTGACTGATGTCGTTGAAGCCTGGAACACCAGTCGTGTATCTGTTTGTCACAATGAGCTTGTATGCTCACATTGCCGCATGGACGGACTTACAGCATGGGATTCAAGAACCCAAGGCTAGATTTGCCCTGCGAAAGCCGGTAGTCGTTCAAGAGACTTACAACACCGGCGAATGCCTGTGAGAGTGTATGTTAGCCATTGAATAGCGTACTAGTACCATGTGTGCCATGCTTACAGGAGATGAAGCGCTCGTGCCGGAGACACCACCGGTCTGGCCACCAATTACGACCTGAAGTGCGATGAGACCGTGTTCATTACAAGTACACACTATGCTCACCTGGAAGTTGACGCCCTGAGCGGCGACGTCCGGGTAGCCACGACCGGTCTTATTGTATAGACCGGCGTATTCGGAACCCAAACCATCGACGTATGAAGATACCACGTCGGCCTGATAGCCAGGAGTGGCGAAGTAGTTACTGAACCCGCCTCCGGAGAAGTCCACGGCCTGTTCGCGTCATGTCAGAGGCCGGAGCGATGTAGAATGTACTGTGCACACCTTCTCGGGATTGATACCTGGTTCATGTGGCTTAGCTGCGCTGACAATAGCTTCATTCGGGGACGAACACACCTTCTGTTCCGCCAACCGCTGTCACATAAGGGCAGCTCGCCGGGAAAGCTGGAATGAACATCTCCGTCTCAGAGCCGTCGTTGCTAACGCAATCGCCACCAACGCCCGAGTCACCAGAACTGGAACGTCATGCTTGTTTGAGTGTCCACGAACCCCATGTCGAAGTGTCAGAGCCCACCTGAACAAGACACTGGTGCCCATTGAGCCGAGCTGAGCAAAGAGGTTGCACACCTCAACGGCATAATCCTCCGGCACTGTTTGCCTAGGCGCCGTCAGTCTCGTGACATCGATTAGCGCTTCACGTCAACTCACTCTTCGTCTCCATAGGACGTCGTTAGAGTTTGGGGGATTGTGTCGGCGGATAGGAGGTAGTCAAGGAAGTCAAGGTAGGGCTCGTTCGTGTTCGTCGGTGTTCCCTCCGAAGCGTTGAAAGGCGGCGATCCCCCAGTGCTGTAGTAGATTTGCGGGGTGGGGTATGACACTGCCGTGGTATATTGGATGTCCAAGTTGGCCTAGTATATTTGAATGAGGGGATGTAATACATGTAGCCTTTCGACGTACCTCGACACCAGGATCGCTCTGGTCGTTTCCGCCGCCATTGATCTGCACCACCGTGAATGTGGCATCGGACGCATTAGTCAGGAACTTCTGTGCGAAGGTCGTGAGGTCGGCGAAGTTGGCATACTCGTCCAAGTAACTGTATCAACACATAAGATTTCGCATGGATTCGATGATGAGATATAGCCTACCCAGCAACGCCGAGGACGTTGACGTCCGTTGCTTGAGGGGTATAGCCGGTGGTGTTGTACAAAGCTTGGAGACACGCCGGGGTGATGCTCGAAGCACATGAAGAGGGGACGGCACCCGTGGCGAGAACCTCGGCGCGAAAGGTCGAGTCCTCCTTCAGAACCGGTGCGGATGGCTCCAAGTGGTACGTTGTCTTCATGGGACGCATACCGCCAAAGAAGGTGGTGGGAGAGACAAGCGCGATGTGTTCATGAAGGTCCGCGGGGAGGGAGTACGACGTCGTACGAATGATCGAGTCCCCCGTCTCCATATTCTCGTAGATCTCGTAGGAAGCGCCGAGCAGGGTGTTGGCCGTAGAGATGGGGACAGACTCGAGCATGAGCCAGTCACCGTGAAGGGCCGGGCGGACGGTGTCGGCTGGGATGGCATGGTGTGCGAGCCACTCGGAGACAATCGCATGGGTATCGGGATGAGGTGCAACAAGCGATGCAACCTCGTCTTTGTTGAGATGAGCGCCGTAGCTGTGTCTCGAATTAGAGATGGTAGCCACATGCGTATAAGAAGACGTACCTCGTGCTCTTGGGATCACTGACTTCGTAGAGCGCCTTGATGATCGCGTCACTGTCGTGTGACTTGAGCTTGATGCGCAAGTCAATGGTAGTCCCGTCCTCCGGTAGTCCGCGCGAGGACCACTTCGCGGGCGCGCGCTTCCAAGCATGTTTGACCTGCATGTCGACCCAGCGGGCAGTCGGCGCAGGCGTTGCCGCGGTCAGCGAAGCCGCCATCGCGAGCAGAACGAACGAAAGGCCAATCATGATGTCCACGGGAGAGCACGCTCGGAGGGTCAGAAGTCGCCTGAACAAAGCGTTTCACGCTCGAGGACTCGGTATATATACCCCGCAGCGTTCGCGATGCTTCTTCAGCAGTTACGCGCGTATCGCGCACCGGACAGCATATGGACGACATGATCGTCCGGCGGCGGCACAACGTGATCTCATGGTCGGGCAAGAAGGTGTCTTTCCGCAGCTTCTTCTGGAATCGTCGTGCAGGCAAAGACGTCAATGGGCAGCCTTCGAGCGATAAGCTGGTTGAGAAGCCTGTTCAAAAGAGTTCAGCTTGCAATCTCCCGTCATAAGATAGTAGTTCATACTTAAGCTTGCTCGACAAGGGCGCCAACTAACATGTACCAAGATTGATAGCTGTCTGGGCGATAATTAAGCCCATTTGGCCGTCTTGGCACGCCATCCTCGGCGTTTACGCCGCGGGGTTGCAAGCAAGCGAAGTGCGGTACAGCCGCCGGGGAAGACCACAATAATGCGCGCCCGGAACACAGTCGATCTGATGCTGAAGCTTCTTCCTCAATACAGGTTGAGGCTACCATCTGAGATCTCTGCGACCATCTGTAGGCACACGAGCTTGCAGATAGGCAAGGAGAGCGGTACGGGATGCTACGTAGAGCATGACAGAGGAAGACCGACGACCTTCCGGCGAAGTCGGGCGACAAAGTGCGTTCATTTGGCGAGCCGACGTGGACGTTGCGATGTAAGTCTGTGGGCGTGCGCAGGTCCACTATTCCCGTCTATCCGCCTTCCCGCGCCCATCTGACCGGCAAACAGGCTGTCCGCCGCTAGATTGGATAGGCGCCCGGAACTTGCTCTTGACCGTTGTGGTCGTTCGCGGCTTGCGGAACAGACTGCTCTCACACTCGCTGCTCCTTTGCAATCGCCTTGTTTTGGCTAGCGTCTCGTCTCATGAACTTGAATACTGCCAAGGCGACAAGCTCGAGTAGTCCCACAACACTCAAACCCTTCTCTCTAGCTTACCCTCCACATCTAACTGCTCGTCAACGCCGAGGTATCTACGAGGCGCAGATTCGGGCCTTCGTAGAAGCGTCGGATGCTGTGGACCTCGAGGACGATGTTCTAGCCGACATTCTAGACGGATTTGAAGACTTTGATGTCGGTGAAGATGTTCCTGTGGACGACGATGGCGGGCCGGACCCGTTCTCTTGTTCCGGTGATGCTCGCTGCCCCGCGTCACTCAAGGCGCCACTCATGCTCTGTTGTAGCCTCTATGCAGCCTCGCTGGACACCTCTCGAGGTCAAACGCATGCTGAAGCTTCTCAAAGAAAAGGGTAAATGGACTTCCGTGCTGCATCTGAGTGCTCGGCCTAAGATCTATTCTGTCCAAGGAATGTCTGTATTCTTGAAGGACTACGTCGTCCACAAGAAAATACCTATACCGGAGCTACTCTCCGCATTCGATATCATGCTGGTATGTTCAATTCCTAAGTATCTGACTGCATATATCGACGATGCTTCCCAGTGCGAAGAGTTGCAAAAGAAGAAGCCGGCAACTCTGATGTACTTTCTGCAAGTCGCTTTGTCACGGGAGTAGGTTCCTTCCCAGGTCATGCTCACTACCTGTTGCTGAAGATTTTCAGACTTCAGATGCGGGATCGTCTTACGCAGTACAACACTGTCAACGACGCCGTCGAGTTGATCCGCAAGTCGCAGCGCATCCTCGTCTTGACCGGTGCTGGAATCAGTGTATCTTGCGGCATCCCGGACTTCCGCTCGAAGAATGGACTATATGCGCAACTCAAAGAAGCAGGACAGTACGACCTCGATGACCCACAAGAGATGTTCGATATACATTACTTCAAGCAAAACCCCGCTGGTTAGTCCCTTCTGTCATCTCATCAGTGAACAGATGAACTAATGTATCCAGTGTTTTAGTATGTTACTTCACGCGCCACTACGTATCATGCGCTGACCCTGTCATAGCTCGTTTGCCAAGCAGATATACCCCTCAAACTTTGTACCTTCACCATGTCATCGGTTCATCAAAGCCATAGAAGATCACGGCAAACTTCTACGCGTACGCCGCGACTTTTTGAGAGTGCCGACCAAGACTCACGCTTTCTGCAGAACTATACACAAAACATAGACACCCTTGAGACGTTGACAGGCGTGAGCAAGGTTATACAATGCCATGGAAGCTTCGCCACTGCATCTTGTCTGGCCTGTCGTGCACGCGTTCCCGGGTCTGCCATCGAAGGGTCCATCATGTCTGGAGAAGTCCCCATATGCTCCACCTGCGCGGCAGCAGAGACTTCCCGCAAACCTCCGCGCCCAAAACGAAAACGAAAGAGCGGTGGAAGCAAATGGGACGAGAGCGACGAGGAGGAAGAGGGGCCGATGTATCCGCCCTGGATCATGAAGGTTGGCAGCAGCACCGTCCATCCTTCCATCTTACGACGATGATTGACGCCCGTGCTGTAGCCTGACATCACGTTCTTCGGCGAGAAGTTGACGGATGAATTCGAGAACGCGCTTGTCGCCGATAGAGAGCAGGTCGACCTTATTATGGTCATCGGCACTTCTCTCAAGGTGTCACCCGTTGCGGATATTCTTAGTATGTCCTGTACCTCCATTACACCTTATCTCGGGCTGACAAGCTAAATATACAGCACACCTGCCACATTCCATTCCTCAGATCCTCATCAACAAGACTCCAGTGCGCCATATAAACCCAGATGTAAGCTGCATTCTCTCTCAGGATACGCATAGACGCATACTAAGCGGCCATGGCAGATCGTACTCCTTGGAAACGCAGACCCGATCATTCAACATCTTGCCTCGGAGCTCGGATGGGACCTCCCACCGCCAAAGTCTTCCGCTCTCAAGGCTCCCGCAGCTACCACCAGCCGTAAACGACAATCCCCACAAGAGCCAACCCGCGTCGAAAACAGCCACATCTGGCTCTACGAGGGCGCCGAAGGCGGGAAATGGCTCGAAGACGTCCGCGCGGCCTTCCAGGAAGAGGAAGAAGGGAGCGACGAAAGCTCAGACGAGGACATGCGGGAACTCTCGCCTCCGCCTCCACCGCCGCTTTCGAAGACGCCGTCCGCGCGCTCCGTCAGCTCTTCGGTGTCACGCTCTGCCAGTGCGCCGAAGGCTCGGTCCGCTGCATCTTCGAAGGCGTCGACTGTCAGTGCTGCGAACTCGCGGTCTGCTACGCCTCTAAAGGCTGCTTCTGCCTCTGCAACGCCCTCGCGTGGTACGAATGCTCGGGATACCAAGAAGGCCCGCGTCCGTTAATGTGGTCGACGAACTCTCTTGATATACTGTAACAGAACTCTCACTGTAGAAGTTTGCATATAGTACCCTATCTTATTGAATAACGCTGCACGCATCATCGTAACTGCTGAGCGCGCCCGTACGGAAGAGATGTAACACGTCACCCGAACCCTCTCGGGCCCGGGCATGCCTCGGCTATCAAATGCCGGCCCTCACCGTGAGTTAGTGAGTGGAAGGAAAGTTTGTGAGGGCTTCCCAAAGAGCGTACGAGCAGCGTGCATGAGCTTTAGGGCCGTAGACCGTAGAATAGAAGTTCAGTCACGAGCGTGAGACCAGTTTGATGGCTTGGTCTGGGAGCAGCGCGTGCAGGCGCGCACTGGTTTGCGATCGATATGTCCGTTCTTCCCCATTACAATCAGCTTTGCATCGTCAGATGTGCATCCGCTTGTGAATAAGACCAGTTGACTGTGACTGCTCTTCACGGTATCATGCGTGCATCATATGCCCGATTGGCGGGCGCAGGGAGAGTACTTTCGAAGCGTTTCAGCCTGGGCCGGGCGAGTCAACGAGTTGAGGACCAGTCCGAATGCTCCGCCAAGCCTGTCGCTCCGACCTATGTCTGTGCTTTCAGACTAATTCCTGCCTTTGCGGTTATTTTTGCAGGATCACCTGTATTTTGCGTACGCCTGCCTACCCCCACCAACACCATGCCAATCTTTCGTAGTAGGGCATATCGACGAGGCCTTCCACACACCCTCCGCATATCATTAGGTATCATCCTGGTCAAGTCTTACTATGGATCCAAGACGCAGTCCAGTATCCAGCCTTTCCTATCGTTATGGCCCACCATGTCTTGGACTACACGGCGCCTCAAGTCTATATAACCCCCACTCCTCGCAGCTCCAACACCTCAGAATCTTTGCTTCCTCTCTTACTTTCACTCCTCTACTCAGTCGCTGGCCGCTCTACTTCTCTTCTACACTCTATCACACACTATCATCATGATCTTCACAATCCCCCGCACCACCGCTCTCTCCCTCTCCCTCCTCTCCCTCTACACGTCCACCGCCTCCGCCCTCGGCCTCCACACAGCCGAATACCACGCGCTCTCCGCGCGCACCGTCTGGGCGCCCCCCATCACCGCCCCCGACGCGCAGACGGTGTGGCGCGTCGGCGCGCAGGAGACCGTCCGGTGGGACACGTCCGACGCGCCGGCGGATCCGACGTCGACCAGTGCCACGATCTATCTGGGGTATATGAACTATGATGGGGAGGGCGGGGAGAACCTTGATACTGGTGCGTGACTTCTACTGTTTGTGGTGAATGTAAGAGGGAGAGGCTGATTGGTATGGTATGGGTGTGTAGAGCATCCGCTGGCTACGGATGTCGATCTTACGAAGGGCGAGTATACTATTACCGTTCCGACTGTTCCTCATAGGGACACCTACATCGTCGCCCGTACGTACATCCCCTTCATCGTCGTTCGCGCGTACAAGACTGACGATGCGCATCGGCTTCGATCTTGCAGTGGTTGGCGACAGCGGCAATATCTCGCCTGAGTTCACCATCGCCTGAACCGCCTAGTCCGTTCTCGGGGTCTCACTGGATGACATCGGACATCCTGCTTCCTATTTATTCATCGCTCGCGCTCGGACGCTGTCACCACCATCATGTAACCTTATTTATCCCCCCTTCTCGCGCTCGGACACTCGCTCGCCTCGGACATCGGACAGACATTTGTACGCCCAGCCTCGCATCCACTCCTATCATGTATCCCCAACTCCAATCATGTACCACCCCTTCTCGTATGTTCTCCACGCCATGGACGTTATGTATTCATTGCCCTTCGCATCATCGAGCTAAGCGCGCAGACGCAGACGGAAAGCGTTCTTCGACGCGCGCGCCTTGGGGTCCAAGTACGCGTCGTAGAACCCGACGACGAACTCTTCGGCTTTGAAGCCGAAGCGGTTGTACAACAGCTGCGGGTTGCCAATGTGAGCTGGATGCTATGTATAGAGGGGCAGAGAGGAGGGCGTACCATTGCGGGATTGTTCGCGGAGACGTGGAGCGTGAAGTCTTTGTTCGGGTTGCGGGAGATGAGGAGGTAGAGCATCGTCCTATCTCGTATATCAGCTCCCCAGCACCATGAATCACAAGGAGAATATACGACTGACGTAGCTATCTGAGCGTTCTCCCATCCTGAGCGCACAGCCAAGTAGGTTATGTACGTCTCCTGAGGCGAGCTGAGGAGCGCGACGCCCACGACGAGACGGTTGTATACCGCGACGATCGTCGCGCGCTCGGGTTCGTAGTGTAGCGAGTCAGATACTGGATTGCGCGCGATGAGGTGTGGAGGTGAGATGAGGGGGAGTAGGACGCACCGTTTACGCCGTCCCAGAATGTCCGTCTGAGGATGTCGTGGATCTGGGGGAGATGTTCGTGTGCGAGCGTAACGTATGTTATCGGCGCTGTAGTCTCAACCGGCAACTCGTCCTCCTCTTCAGGACTGCTCATCACGCATAAGCAGCCTATCCCAGCCGGACAGAAAGAGCACGCACCACTTCAACCTCCGATGCATCCTGATATCCTCCATAAGCTCCATCCACGGTGCCTTCGCCTCCCAATCGACATGTACAGCCGGTCGCGTCGGAAAGGCGCCTATTCCATTGAGGCGGGAGAGGAAGGAGTGCTCGTAGGGCGTTGTGCGGATTGCGTGGAGGGCGTCGAGGACTTGGGGCGGTGGAGGCGGGGAGCGAGGTCGGGCGGGTAGAGGAGTGAGGGTTGGTGGGACGGCGGAAGTGAGGTTGGGCGTGGGGAGGTTGTGTTTTGCGCGGTGCTGGGTGATCTGTGAGAGACTGGTTCTCTCGCACGAGAGAGTATACGAAC